TTTTTAAAATATTTATCTTTTTCAGATGCACTGAGCTGCCAGTTGTGCTAATTAGAGTCTCTCTAGGGGTTTGCAATACTGCACCCAGGTATAATGGTGCTTAAGTATGGCTTCCTCCCACCCAGCCCCACCACTGCTTTCACTGGGGCAAGCGTCCCCTATGAGCTCTGCCAGGTCCCAGACTCCTTAACAACTCAACCATCACTTTACGTAATTTTAAGGTTCCAGTTGAAACGCTTTATTTATAAGGATATATGCTGTCTGCAGCTCTGAAAAAGTTATCTTCTCCAAATATTGCAGAAAGCTTCAGTGCTGAACATAGCCCACAGGTTTACTTTAGAGGCTGACAGGTGGGGTTTTTGTTGATTTTGTTGTTATTTTCAAGTGACCCTCACTGAAAATACTGTCACGTAGCTCTCTGTTTTTCAGAAATTGACCACTTAGCCAAGAAAGCTGTGTTGTTATCCTATGAACTAGTTGGCTAGAAAGAAAATATGTTGAAAGAGCATGCAATACTAAAGATATCTGGAATCAAACATGCTTCCACTGGTTTCAGTGGATTCTTTACCCTTGTTTTCACGAGGCTCTTTGTCAGAACCTAAAGCATAAAATATTCTGACAGGTCAATGTTAAAGTTACTAGACGGTCATGAAAACAGCATTTTTATCCTCAATTACATGGACAAGATGGGATTGCTGTGCAGCCACAGCTGTTTATCTCATGGCTGTGACAAGCCTGTGCGGATGCTGTCACTTAGCAACCATTGCCATTTTGTGTTTTAACTGCAGCTTTTTTGTTGTTGGCACATAATGAGAGTTGCAATCACGAGATCGGTCCCATCAAGGGTGTTTGTTTTGGAGAGCGATGGGCTCCAGGGCTCACCTGTGCCTCTGCCCAGCCTATATAAAGGCTAAATCAGAATAATTTTATGTGCGATGGCTAACACAGCTTAATAAGTGTTTATTTTGGAGCTAGCTTGGCTGGGCCAAGTTGTGCTTCAAGATGTACAACCTGGATTCACCATCTGCCAGACCTGGCTCTGCAGCTCCTTTGTGCTGGTCACAGCCCAGAAGCTGGTTCCAGGCCAAAGCTCTGAGCGTGGTGGTGGTGAGGGGCCAGCCGAGGCCCTTGATGTCCCTATGCACAGCAGGGCAAGCTCCCTGCTCCCTTCTACTGACCCAGGCTGAAAGCTCAGGGAATTTGCTGTCAGTGGAGACTGGAAATATGAGGACTGAGAGATAATGAAATAGGAGAACCGAAGATGTGAAAGTGTATCTATCTCTTAAGGGTAGTTCCCACCTATCTTGCACTAAAAAGGCATGAAAGGGGGCAGCTCTACCACGGGCCAAGTCTTAATGCTCTACAGGAGCTATTTAAGGTTGTGGTTTTCCTTTACACCTGATCAGGTCTTATCAGGCAATGTCCCTCAGAGGAGTGGGTGCACGCTCTGTCCCAGACAGCCTGATCCCAATCTTGCACAGAGTTTAACTACTGGGCAACTGTAGAAAGAGCTGGGGATTAGCTTGGTTTTGATGGGTTTGTTTTGGAGGTAGCCATGTGAAAGGTATCTTCACAACCCTGTTATGGGTTTGTGGTAAATGAACATATTAAACTGCTGTGCTCTAAGCAGAGACTTGGACCTTCTCCGCAGGGCTGCTCTCAATCCACTCCTCGCCCAGCCGGGATTTGTGCTTGGGATTGCCCCGAACCACGGGCAGGACCCTGCACTTGACCTCGTTGAACTTCACCATGTTCACACAGGCCCCCCTCTCCAGCCTGTCCAGGCCCCTCTGGATGCCATCCCTTCCCTCCAGCGTGTCCCCGCACCACACAGCTCGGTGCCGTCAGTGATCTTGCTGAGGGTGCTCTCCATCCCACTGTCCATGGCGCCGACAAAGATGTTAAACAGCGCCGGCCCCAACACCGACCCCTGAGGAGTGCCCCTCGTCACCGCTCTCCACTTGGGCATCGGCCCGTCGGCCGCAGCTCTTTGGGTGCGACCATCCAGCCAATTCCTTACCCACCACGTGGTCCATCTGTCTGTCCCGGGTTTGAGTGAGTGGTGGGTTTTTTGGTAGCAGGGGAGGGGGCTCAAACCATGACACTGTCAAATCCCACGTCTCTCCAATTTAGAGACAAGGATGTTGTGCGGGACAGTGTCGGATGCTTTGCACAAGTCCCGGTAGATGGTGACAGTTGCTCTTCCCTTATCCACCGGTGCTGTCACCCCAGCATAGAAGGCCACCAAATTCATCAGGCATGATTTGCCCTTAGTGAAGCCATGTGGGCTGTCACCAATCACCTCCTTATTTTCCATGTTCCCTACCATCATTTCCAGGGAGATCTGCTCCATGATCTTGCTGGGCACAGAGGTGAGACTGCCTGGCCTGTAGTTCCCTGGGTCCTCTTGATTTCCCTTTTTAAAAATGGGGTTTATGTTTCCCCTTTCCCAGTCAGCGGGAGGTTCACTGGACTGCCACGACTTCTCAAATAGGATGGATAGTGGCTTAGCCACTTCATCCACTAGTTCCCTCAGTACCTGTGGATGCATCTCATTGGGTCCCATGGAATTGTGTGCTTTCAGGTTCCTTAGATGGTCTTGAACCTGATCTCTTACAGTGGGCGATTCTTTCTTCTCCCAGTCCCTGCCTTTGTCTTCTGTGTCTTGGGTGCTGTGGCTGGAGCTGTTGCCAGTGAAGACTGAGGCAAAAAAGTCATTGAATACCTCAGCCTTCTCCATATCCTCGGTGACCAAGTCTCCTGTTTCCTTCCAAAGAGGGCCCACATTGTCTCTAGTCTTTCTTTTATCACCAGTGTACCTGTAGAAGCTATAGGTCTTTATAGGTGTTCTCTTTAGTTTCATTTTGCTTTAACAGAAACAGTTATGTAAGTGCACCTGTAGTACTGCAGACTCCTGATGCAGACTGCTCAGTGCCCCTTCCACCTGGGGATTCGTTGTAAGTGTATCCATGACGTGTGTTTGCAGAGCCCTGAATGTTTTTGTTACAGCTGTACATCACCAGCTTTGTTCCACCTTGTTCAGACAGACACACTGCTTCTTTGAAAGAAAGCCCTTCCATTTCTGTGTGCTGGCTTGCAAGGTTAGAGGCAAGATCTGTCCTGTCTGTGGAGGAGCCTGTCTGACACAGGCTGAGGTCTGGCTGTGTGAAAGTGGTGCTTTATTTCTCAGCAGAGGACAAAAACCACTGCTGCAAAGGGAAATGACACAGACTACAGGGATGCTGCTACCGATACATTTTTCCGTTGTAAATTGCTGAAAACTTCTGCAGTGAAGCTGGTGGTTGAGTTTCTTCTGTAACACATGGTGGTTTTTAGAAGCCTTGGTGAATATATATTGTAAAGTAGAATGAATTTTGTTAGAGATGGACAAAAGAAATTCCAAAGATATGCATGTGCTGATCTGTAATCACAGATCACATATATCTAAGCTAAAGCAACAGCCTTAGACTTTTATGGCCCATATCTAAGTTGTGCAATTAGTATAATTAGGCAAAGAATATTCTTTGGATTTTAAATGTCCAGTGTATTAAAACAGAAAATTAGCAGCCATTTCTCTTAGTGACTTTTAGAAAGCCATTGCTAGTGTAGGGCTGAACCAAAGATGCTGATTCTCTCCTGTGTCTGAGTCTGAGCAGGTAAAGGATAAATCCTTTCTTCAGAGCTTTGTTGAAATATGTTGAAAGCAACTCTAGGAATTTCATACCTGTGTACAGATCAGGCAACAGAATCTACATTGCCTCTGTGCAGATGAAGCGCTGAAATGAGCTTTGTAATCTTCTTTCACAGTACCAGCCACCAGACGTAAATCTTTCTAATCTGTTACGTTCTGTGTTGATATTTGTATTGCTACTGCCTGCTATCCACAGCCCACATTAAAGCAAACGACAATCCTGAGCCTCAGTGCTTCTTGCATTAAACGAGGCCCGTGTCTGACCACAGCGTTTGCTGCAATCAGCTGTGGCGTGTGTGTACGCCCGCTGTAAAAACTCTCGGTGGTGCCTGCCTCCTGCAGGAACCGTACACAGCTACAGCACAGATGGTGTGACTGCAGCAGTTCCCACAGAAATCCATCCCAAAAAGGCAGCTTTGAGCTTTATCGTGTGTCCATAACGGAAGGCCAGGCAGCCCACCTCCTCTCTACAGTGATGGGAGTCCTCAGTGTGTGACAGGAGTGAGGTGAGTGTGCCGAGTTCGTGGAGGGACCACTCTCATCATGTTGTAAAGGGGTAAGTAGCAATAGTGCTTGTTGAAATGAATGCTCCGTGTGCATGTGGGGGTAACAAGTCTGCTTCTCAGGCTTGTCTCCTTGAGAGTTAAACCCTCCCCCTAGGTGCACCATGACCACAGCTCCTTGGCAAGACACACCACGTGGTGTAAATTCTTAACCCAGCTAAAAGCTGTGTGGCTGAGATAAGAATCTTCTGGAGGTGCAAAAAAAGCTTTGGTTGGTAAGAAGTGGGTTGAAAATGAGTTAGCAGTGTAAGTAAGTGGGGTAAGGCTTGCACAAGTTCTTAAATGTGCAAAGATGGGCATCCTAGAGAGGGTATCTCAACAGGATGGATGATTCACTGTAGTAGCTGTTGGTGCATGTTTATAAATTTGGCAGCTCAATTTTCAGCTCATAAATCCCACTGCCATCATCTTCTATAGACAGAATCGTGGAGGGGGGTGGGTTATTGTGCTTTCATCCCCCTTAACCTCTCTAGGCCCTGGCATTTGTTCCTCACACTCCTCAGATGTTCATGACCCTTCAGGTTTCTCCCAGTTATCAGGTGTGGGATGTCAGTTCAAGCATCTTAGTGTTAATAAGTCTCTCTACTGTAACTAAAGCAGCAGAGAAAACGAAGGCAATGCAGTGAGCTCACTAGGAAGTACAGAATCAGCACTGAGTCACTTAATTGCTGAAGGTGGAGACCTGTTTTAAATGAAAGATGAAAGGAGTCCTTAATTCCCCTTCTGAAGATAATGAGCCCTCACAGTTTGTTGTACAGTTGGTTTTAATGTACAAGCATCCTGTGTACAAACAAGATTTCGGCTTGCAACTAAGCAAATAAACTTAAGAATGTCACCACCACCCTAGCTGATGAGAAAAGAAAAAAAGCTCCATTACAAATTAATAGGTCTGGGAGTCAAGAGACCTTGGTAATAAGCAGTGAGTTTCCCTTCTGTAACAAGACACTTTTTCAATTTGCTGACATTTGCATAGTTCCTTGGAGTCTCCTAAACTGCAAAACCCTGAAATCACAAGAATTCCAGTGCTGAATGGAAGATGTTCATCCAGCAACCTGCTCTCCTTTCCTGGAGCATAGCTGACCTATTGACAACATGCGATGCTAGTTCTGGAACTAAAATCCCTTCGCTAGACAGGAGTGCTAAAACTCCACAAACAATTCACACTTCTTTAAAAGCAAATCCCTTCTCTCTCACTAAGCCTTTCAATTTCAGCGGCAGGAAAAATCCTGATTTTTAGTATCTTCTGTCTTTTGCCAGGTGTAGATCCTGCTCAGGTAGAATTGTCTCTCAGAAGCAAAGCTTTTTTCTCCTAAGAACAGCTGCTGGTACAACACCCAAGGGCTCTGCCATACATAAAGCTGTGCACAGAACAATAGCTAAGTGTGCTGACTTCATTAAAAAGCACATAGTAAATCTTCAACCTCAGCAGCAAGAAATTCAAACTACATCTCACCCTATTGTACTGTTGCAGGGATAATATTGAAGGAGGAGATTACAGAAGTTCCTCAATTGTATTAGATGCTGTGGCCTCCATTAGCCTAAAACGGGTGTTGTGTTCCTGCCTCCACAGAAGCTGCAGGAGGATAAAGGCTGACAAGTAAGATCTCTCAGTGCTAGAAAGGAATACAGCATGGTTTGACCTACTGGTAAAGGTACTCTTTTTTTATTTTTTTTCTGGGTTTCAAAAAGCTTCTTAGCATATGGCAGGACATTGGAGCAAGTTGCAAAAAAAAAAAAAAGTCTTCCCTGAGTTTTTAAAAAAAATTGGCAATGCTTTCTCAGAAAACAGTGTTGCCATTTGCACTACAGCTGCTGTTTTCTAACTGTTTACCAAAGCTAAGCATAGATCTATATTTTTTAATCACGAAAAAGCCACAGGTGTCAGTTTCTCTTACTAGTTAGAAGCTATCCTAGTTCTTTAGAAATGGAGAACAGGAGCACTCGAAAAATTCAGCAAAATGCACTTGCTTCTGGCTTCAATTAAAAACAAAGTCAGCTTTATAGGGTCACTGCTGAGATCAAAACAAAAAAGCACATTATCTATAGAAGAAAGTTTGTAATGTTAAGGATGATCAGCTTTTGATTCCTTAAATGCCGCCTTTTGCTCTAGACCTCAAAATGCAACCTGGAACTAGAAGAGTCTGTTTTCAAAAGGGAGATACAAAGTCAAAACAAGTGTCCCTTAAAACCAGTCTTCATCAGTTTTAGCTGCTCTGGCTCTAAAGGGAGCATGCAACAACTAGTTTGCAGTCACTGTTTTGTTTTCTAAAAATGTTTCCTTATGTAGGCATGGCCTGGCACTTTCTTAAAGGACATAGGACTTAAAAAAAAAAAAAAAAAGAATGCATTTCTTGATGTGTTAACTTTGAAAAACAAAACACAGTTTATTGGAGACTATACTTTTCAACAAAAAAATTTATCAGTATTAAAGATGTTCAAACCCATTTAACAGTTAACAAAGTCATCTTTTTCTCTGTTCAGTGTAACATTTCTTTTTAACTTCTCTCAAAAAAGACTTAATGACTGGTAGGAAAAAATTCTCCACAAGAAAACTGCTGAAGCACTGCTCCCTCAGAGCAGAAGATGTCTTCAGTAGCAGTCAGCTTCGTTTTCCTCTATGGTGCCCACAGTAGCAAGGATGTCCTGTAAGAGGGACTGAGGGCTTTTCTCCACATGGTCACTACTTTTATTTAACTCATCATGTAGCTCTTCTAAGTCTATTGTACCCAAAGCTAGCATCATGCACTCTGGATCTTGAAAATCCACCCCTTTATTACCATCTGTGGGGAAGTTCGGGGCCAGAGAACCCTGCCTTAGTGTTCTTTGTAACCAGGCAATGCCATGTTCTGCAGGTGAATCTCCAGACCTTTGTGAATCCTTCAAGGTACTAATTGGATAGAAATTACCTCTTAAGCCAAGCAGTGTATCGCAGGCTCTCTGACCTACTGGTTTGTCACAGTCACACAAAGACCGAAACAAAAAGCTGAACAGTTTTGCTCGGCAAAATATCTGCAGTGACTCATTCCGATGAATGGAACTACTGACGGCAGATGAGACAGGAGCATATGGGCATTTAGGAAGGCCAAGTTGGCAAATTGTTTGACTACAGAAAACTTCAACCAGTTCCAAACCACCAAGTCTCACTTCCCAGTCTAAGTCACGCTCCACAGTTTGGATCACTCTAGAGACAAACTGCTCTGTATCTTCCAGCTGACCTGTGCAGCCTTGTCTCAGCCACTTGATGAAGATGCTGATCACAGCCCTTCTAGGAAAGCCCTCTGGGTCTGTAGACAAGATTTCTTGAAGCTTTACTACAGTCTTCTACATGTAAAAAGACAAAGAGAAAGCACAATGAGGGGAGGAACATGCAAAGAAACAAGAACAGCAAAGTAAAAAAAGTCTCGTCTTTTCATTACTGCTTGTGAAATGTGCCTGCATGAGACTGCAGATAACTTGTGAAGAAAGTTGTAAGCAGTACAGCAGCAAACCGATGTGTAGTTCTGCTTGATTCTGCAGCAGGCTACATGAAGTCATCACCATACCTCTTTATTATACTGATTCCCTACGACAGGTGACTCGGGAGCAAAGTAAGTAATGAAGGCCAAGTGTCCCACAGCAGTCACAGCACTCGCTCGCACGTAGCTTTCTGGATCCTCAAGAAGGTTTTCTGTAAGTCTCGGCACCTCCGAAGACAGGAGAGACTGCCTGAACTCATCCTGGTCTGTAAACAAGACAGCAATCCAAAGAAGCGAGGCTTTATTCTCTCAGAGCAGGAAGCTGTTTCCAATGCAAACAGTTCTTTGCGTCATATGAGGATGCCCACTGACTGCAGGGACAGCTGCCAGTGAGCTGAGCCACTGCAGAGACCAGGCAGCTGCTCACAAGAGCACAGATGCCCTGTGTCAGGCTCTCCATTTTCCAACAGCTTGGTGACTTTCAGTCAAGCCCTGCTAGACACTGGAACTTGGAAAAATCCATTTCCAGTTATTCTAGCAGCAAGAAAAAACGTTCTCCAGGCAAGCAGGGACATGGTTTCAGCCTCAAACTTATGCCTTTACTTAAAGGAGGAAAAAAGAGTCTTCCTTTCCTGTTGTCACAGCATATGGCAAAGAAAAAGAATGCAGCTGCAGCACTGAGAGGGGCTGCAGGGTAAACTGCTAATGCAACTGAGTGTGCTGGGTACTTCCTTTGTGACCTGGGGACAATAGTTGTCAACATCCCCCTCTTTTCCAACATTGCCAACCAACTGTAGCACAATTAACACTGTCTTAGTGCTACTTGCTGTAAAGCCTGCACTATCAGTACAGTGGAACATTAGTAATTAATCCAATGCAAAGAAGATCTAGCCTTTTAGCCTCCTAAATCCAGCTCCCAGTCTTCTGAGTGAAACCAGACAGACTCCAATGCAGAGCAAACTGAAATAAGGGAAAGTATTATCTGCCATTAAGTACTATCATCTGCCTTAACATGCATGTCTCAACATATATGACTGTCTCAACATCCCTCAGTTTAACTCATCAAAACTGCCATTAAGGAGGGCACATCAATCTGGGTTCAACAGAAAAGTAGGATAAGTTTATTAATCTTTTTGGAAGTTTTTTTATTATGATCTAAGACTAAAAATCTTGACACTTCTTTCTTTCTTTAACCGTCCAGTTACAGGTCAGAGGATTCTTCAAAAGCCTGACTAACTTGCATAACATTAAAAGAAATAGTCCTCCATTCTGAACCGTTAAATCTCTCTACCTACCTCTCAAGCATTTAATGAGGACAGTGAGGAACTCCAGAGAAGAATCTCTTACTTCCCAGCAAGGACTGCACAAACGCTTCTGCAGCACCAGAAACACATCTGTAAAAGCCAAATGACAAGCTTGAATGGACATGAAAGGCAACAAGCCTTACTGAAGCAATCACTGTACCAAGTCTGTATCATTTTAACAGATGCAATCCCTTTTGCTGCTGCTGTGTGCTCCTCCCAGAGTTTTTCAAAGCGCTATTTGGGCAGCTAAACCTAAATTCAACATAATTGCGAACAAAAGAATCCTAAGTGCTTTCAGCAGGAAAAGTAGGCAAGAGTGGATTTCATATGTGCCACCAGCTGCTGTTTGTCCCAACTTGAATAGCTTTGTTACCTTCCAAAATCTTCTCAGTTTGTTGCCATCGACTGTTGGAGCAGGACAGTTCCTGCAATCGCACCAACCACCTGGATGTAGCTTGAAACGTTTTTTTTAGAACCTGAAGCAATATAAAGCAGATTTACTTTACTACAGGTGGAGGTATTGTTGCCTTTATGCTAGATAAAATTTGGTTTAGCCTCAAACTTACAGAGAAATTCTCAGAGTCAACAATTACATATGCTTTCTTACTAAGAAGTAAGGCACAAATAAATGGTGCTTATATAATATTCCTAACAACTAGAAAATGCTTGTTCTCAGCTCAGTATTATGAAATTCTAGTACCTCCAGCTTCTGATTTGCAGTTGTCAGTATTCAAACTAAGCAAAGCAAGAAAACGAAACCCCTTAATGCAGACAATTCAATACTTAAGGGCCACATCAAGTTGAGTATGTTGGTGCTACTCTTAGATGTGATGGCTCCTGTCTTTTTGAGAACACTCAATGTATTGGTCAGTTACTCACTCATTAGAAATTTAGCTATTTCCTGCAAGCCATCCAGAACCAAGATAAGTCTCCTACATACTCTAATACAAACTGTGCTAAGAAACAACTATTGTCAGACAATTTCTCAGAACTACATCCCACTGGGACAAGCTAATAGACTTGGATCTCTCCTCAGTTCTATACTCACAGTAGGGTTGGTGTTCGGACTCTCCAGGTATGCTAGAAGGATATCAAAGAGACTTCCTATGAGTGTGTCACAGCCTGAAACATAGAAAACAAAATTAAAGGGCCAGTACTGTGAGATCAACTGAATGACAATTCAACTGCTGAAACACAGAAAGACACGGGATTGTAAAACTGTTTTGGAGAAGAAAGCAAATACAGTCCTCACAGTAAAGGAGAAAAGCATTACCTACCCTAGCTCATCAACGGAGAGTAAGGTTAGCCAAGAGAGTAGAAAGAATTGGAAAAAATGAAACCATTTCAGAAATGGAAGTGGTAAGTCTTAATTCAGAAAAAGTGAAGTGGAATGAAAAATTCTGCAACTACAGAATAGCCCAGTATTCCCAAAAATAAAAAAAAAAAATAAGGTGCAAAGATTAACTCACCTTTTCGCTCTGAGAGTGCTGCTAGGACATCAAGAGCTGACCTCTGTACTCTGAAGCAGTTGATCAAGATTCGGCTTATTGTGCTTCCCAGAGGAGAAGTTGGACTCAAGAAGCCATTACAGAATTGTAATATTGTCATGAGAGAGCGTAACAAAGATGTGTAGGGTAAATCCACTGGCAAACGAATCTAATGGTAGGGGAGAAAGAAAAAAAAATAGTTTCCAGCAAAAGTCTCAAGTGTGCATACAGAGCAGGAGACTTTGGTCAGCAGGCAGCAAAAACTGCAATTTCTAGTATGTTCTTCAGGTACCACAATGCTAATGACTACAAACAAATTGTCTTCCTCTCTCCCAAGAACTACTGCACAAATGGAAGGAGATTCTTCTTGCTGCTTGGGAAACCAGTTCAATTTATGTTTTTTTCACTGGATCAGTAATTGCAGGAGATGTAAGGTATGGTAACAAAGCCTGTGAGGGTGGATTTAAAACTAAGTGCAATCCCTCTTTACAAGCCTCAGTATTCCTGCTTTCCTGTTTGGAGTTTACTGTACTACATTTCTTTAAAGTATGGAAGCCCTCACTGTCTACTCCTCTCCGTGTTCTGTTAAGCTCTACTGCAAAAGTTTGCACCCAATCTCAATGCTCTCTTTCAAGGACTAATTTGATCCTCAGGGTTTTTCACTTCTCTGAATGTTACCAGAGACAGCAGCTCCTCCAGATGAGCAAGGGTCTGACACAGAAGACTAACACAAGATGACCTGGAGGACAGGAGACTTTCAACAGTGGCAGGATCACTAACAGATTCGTCCAGCAAACCTAGAGGACCAAAGGAGGGAAGAGCTCAGGTGGTTAGTAAGTACAAAGGACTGTGATTTTTTTTTTTTTTTTTTTAAGTTAATCAAGCTTTTCAGGTGATGCAGTATGAATATCCCTTCAAATGCAACTGACAGCAGGATGCTGCACTTCACCACAAACACTGCTACTATCCTTGACTACTACTACTACTCTTCTTCCTCCAGTTTTGTCTGCACCAGACACTTAAACCACTGGCAAGCAGACTAGCCTCTAACTTTTCTATCACAACTGTACCTGCATATTCCAGAGGCTGGGAGGCTGCTCTCAAAATACAGTCCATTGGCTGAAGTAGAACAGTCAGTGCCTGAATCCTCACATCTTGTGGGCTTCAAGGAGGAAACAGCAGTTACCAAAACAAGAATACTTCAATTCCTTTGCAAACATCTGTCCCCAGAACGCTGAGCAGAGTAATTTTTTTCATGCAGGCTTTTAAACAAGCCAGCAATGACAGAGCAGTGAAAGCATTATCACAATTCAAGCCTTCTTCCAACATTCTGTGGCTAACTGAAAGCAGAGAAGAAATGGCTTTGGAATTTAGAAGCAGCCTTATCAAGCTATGCAAAGAGTGGAATTCTGTGCAAGAAGGGAGTGAGAGAGGCATTTCTTGTCAACAAAATCATGTCCTTGTATCTTAAACACAGGTGTTACTTAGCCTGTAAATCGGTATCCGTATCTGCTGTATTCATTGGATGATTTCTTGATGATTTTTCACTATCTAAAGGGGAGTTATGGAGAAGACGCAGGCAGACTTCTCAGAGGTGCACAAGACGACCAGAATCTTAAATTTCAACAGGGTAGAGCCCAATTGGATATAGAGAAAATATTTTCATAGCGAAATGAAACTGGTTAAGCACTGGAACATGCTGCCCAGAGAAGCTGTAGAATACTCATCCTTGGGGACATTTGAAACTTGAATGCTGAAGGGCCTGAGCAACCTGATCTATCTTTGAAGTTAGCCCTGCACTGAGCAAGAGGTTGAATTAGATCACTTCTACAGGTTCCTTCTAACATAAGTTATTCCATAACTGTCAACAGTCTCCAGATTCACACTTCTGCTGGACAGCAGTGAAAGCTCTTACACTAGTCAGTGTTTTTGTGAAAGAGGAAACTGAACAGAGACTATTGGGTTTGACAGGCAGTCAAATTGCGTCCATCTTAATCAACCTTGGCAGTATAAAGCTAAAGGAGTTTGCTATTTCTTCTGAAAGTGGCCAGCAGCAGGTAAGATGCAAGTGTATGAACACAAACATGATACTGGCTCCTTCCATCTCCCTCTCTTTGAAACTTTTATTCTTACTATCAGTGTCTGAAGTTTTTCAGCTACTGACATGGTTCTTGCCAACCAGTCTTACATATTAAGGAATATAGGGGAAAATCAGTGAGGAAGAAAACAGTTCGTGGAAAAGACACCAGAGATATTAGTACAGAAATTCCACTGCAGTAAGTCCTACCATTTGTAGAGCCTCAGAATTCCCACTGCCAAAGGGCCTGCTTGTACTGGGGTTAAGTGTTCCAGAGCAGAAGTCACTAGTGCCCAAAAACTGCCTTCAGTGTCACAAAACACAGGGGACCTGAGAAGAAAGAAGTGTAAGTAATATGTCCTGTGAGACGGTAGAAAACAGATATATCTCATCACTGGTTCCAAAGTTGCAAATCTTTACCATGCCATGTTAAGTAAAAGATTCGCCAGCATGTGCTGTGCTTGGACAGTCTCTTCCGTCAGAAAGGATTCTATTTGCTTTGTTATGCCTAACCAAAGTACTTCAGTCCACGTAGCACGACAACTGCCAAACAAACTAGTTAACAGTTTTAATGACTGCTCGATGTGAGAAGCAGAGCTGGACTGAAGGGAATCTTCTATACGTTTTATAATCATTTGGGCACACACTGGCCAGTCACGGTCCTTTGTACTGAGAGGTTTGGTCGTTTCAGACTCTACAGAGAGGGTGAGCATGTGCACCAGAAGCTGACTGGCAGCTGACGCCACAAACAGGCTGGGATCTCCTTGCAGAGTGAAGATCACATCTATGTCTCCTGTGTGAAAACAAAACAAGTCACTGGAGGAAAAAACAACAGCCTTTCTATTGTGAGGTAGAGCCTTTTTGCACTCCAACCATTTATTATTCTAATTCAAGTTACCACACAGCTGTAAATGGTGTTGGTGGGATTTTTTTATACTTTATTTTGTAGTCTCTATGGCATTTCAAAGTCAGCCAGTCCTTAACGACAAACAAACAAACAAAAAGCAAATAAAAGAAGAAAGTAAAATTGTTTTCAGATCCTCAGGTGTTTTAGGAACTCAGGAAACAGAAGAGGACTTCAATATAACATTAGTAATATTGGGAGAGTTGACAGCACACTTGCTATACCATCTCCAGAAACAACCAGCGGGAAAAACATGAGTGGCAGCAACAGCACTACTCTTCCATCACACTGACAGCAGCACATGCTGCATTTTAATACCAATCTGGTCTTTTAGGCCCCTCTGTACATGGGATCTAAAGTTGAATCCTGAACTTACATACCTGCAGAATAACAATGGGACTGCAAATGTGTGGAAGTATTAAGAGACAAATGAGCCCCTGCCTAGTTTATCTGCACTAAAATCATACTGAAATGTACCTCTCAGTAAGAGTTACCAATAAGAATACAGAAGGCTTTTAGTTAGGTATTTTTATCATGCATTTCGTAAGATGTGCCTCTTTCCCCTCAAAAAAGGGCATCATCTTCAGTGTTTGGAGGAAAAAAAAAAAAAAAAATCACAAAAAAAATGTAAATGCATAACTAATTTCACAAAAACCCCACCATCTTTCAATTACTTCAGTGTTTTTGACAAGTGGCTTATTTTTATCTTAAATTAATGAAAACTCCTGTGTCTCTCATTTGACATCTGAGCAATGGAATGGAAGAGACACAGAGGAGTTGTGGAGTTACCACTCCTAGAAGTACTCACCACCATCGCAGAGGAACTGAAGGGCAGGCTGGTGATGCATCATGCTGTGCACACCCTCCACCCAGCCACTTCGCACAGATGCATCTTCCCACACCGCGCTGTTCCGAGGCCCATCCCTGCCAAAGAGCCTGACCAACAGCTTCTCCTGCTGAGGCCAGAGGAGAACACACAGAATAAATGGTAAGCAAAGGGGCTCGAGGGGATTGGAAAAGCTGCTCTGTCATCCAAGTCAAGAGTGTCAATGCTGTAGTGAAACCTTTTCTTGCTAGAAGTATCACTAAAATAAAAACTGTTCAGAATCCTATGCTTAATCTCGACATGTCTCTTCTATGGACTAAGCAACAGAGCTGTTCAAAACTGCTTATTTTAAAGATGCTAGGGACAACTTAAGTATATATCAGTTTCATTAGACTGCTTTATACAGTTGTATGGATCTCTTCCTTGACGGACCAAGGCTTTGAGTTTTGTATTATAAATGTATTCTATTGTAGAAACCAGGACTATAAAAAAATCCACCATTTTTGCAGGAAATCAAAGATTTTCTGTCAACCCGCTATGGAGGGAAATCTTCATCTGTTAGTGCAGTTTAAATCGACAGGATCTGCCCAGGGATACAATATTTTGCAGTGACTGTTGTGAGATAGCGTTATCCCATATACTGTTTTGAACTGAAAATGAGAAGCACTACGTATTAGCATTCATAGTATTACTGTGGCAAGACAGAAGGAAGAAGACGGCTGCTCTATGTGAGAGCTGAAGAGGAACAGTATGACTGTAAGTCTTCATTACCATATTGCTGTTTGGTGAGTTGTTTGATGTATGCCAGAAACTTTACAAGCAGAATATGTACATTTTCAGGTGTACTCCATATAGAAGGAGGAAACAGCCATGTGGCAGCAGGTACCTGGGTAGCCGACTCACCTGCAAGTGTTGGAAGCGGCTTTCGGAAGCGGCAAGTATTCCAGCTAACCGCAGAGTAAAGGAGAGGATGCTCGGGCTGGGCTCTGGCAATGCCAGCACGGAGGTGATGAACTCTGTCAGACAAGGATTGTCCTGCACCAGCTTCACCGTAGGATCTAGCAACCGGGTGTTGCCCAAGGAGAGGCCAGAAAACAGAGGGTCACTGCCAGGACTTCTGTCCTCTCAGGCGCTTGCCTGAGCTCAGTGTAACCCCTCACAACTGTTAAGGGATGAGTCTGGGTTCATCTGAAGCCCGAGCCCAGGTACAGGCCTCAAAGACCAAACATCGTTTCCAGGTGTCACCGAGGGAACAGCACCTCTGAGGGAGGCTTCCCCCGGGTCCCGGCCTGCAGGCCTCCCTCCCCCTCAGGACAAGGCCCAGCCAGTCACCGGTGGCCAGGCCTAGGCTGGGGCCGGGGTGGGGGCGGGCCCTGCAAGCGGCGGCTACTCACCGCATTCCGCCAGTTCCCGGAACCAGTCGAGCAGCTTCTCCAGACAGGTGTCGTCGGAGGCGGGCTGCCGCGGGTCGGCCAGGGCGGCGCAGACGCGCGGCAGCAGGAGGGAGCACTCGCGGGTCATGGCGGAGCGGCGACGAGACACCGCGCACCGCCGAGCCTTCACCGGCCCCGGCCGCAAAGCGACTGTCGCAAACCCGGGGGCGTGGCCTAGGGGCGTTCAGAGGGCTGGCGGGCGGTACGAACGGTGGGGTTACTGCCCCCCGGGCTGCGGCGGGGTTAGGGGAGCGGGTCCTGGGGTTGCCCTGAAGGCACGACCCGGCTCGGGGCCGTTCCCCTGCGCAGGAGCGGAGCCGGCCCTTGCAGGGGCTGCCCTCACCGCCCGCCGGGGCTTCCTGATTGTCGGGGCCGCTCGGTGGCACCCGAGCCCCGCCGGGCTGTACCTGCAGCAGCTGCTGGCGCGGGCGCCGCGTCCGCCGGCCTCTCTGCGCATGCGCCGCCCGGCCTCGGGGCGGAGCGCGCCGCGCCTCGCCCCGACCCGCCGCCGCGCGGCTGGTTGCCATGGTTTCCGCAACCCGGAAGAGTCGGGGGCCGGCGCTCAACCTAGGCCGCCGCGCTCGCCCCCTGCCTCGAGTCTGGGCGCTATGGCCTGAGGTGGCCTCCGCAGCCCTGCTACCCCCTGAGGCCTCCCCGCCACCCTCCCGCCATGGCCCAGGGGGCCGGCGAGGCGGCCGTGGAGGGGGAGCTGGTAAGGCGCGGCTGGTGGGGAGGAAGAGGAGGAGAAGGAGGAGGAGGCGGCCCCGGCTCTGGGCCTGCCTCAGCCTAGGCCCGGCCCGGGAGATGTTCCCGCCTGCCCGTGGGGTCGGGGCAAATCCTGGAGGCCCGTCAGGCCGGCGAGGCGCTGGGAGGACGGGGAGGAGGATGGCTTTGTCCGTCGCCAGCCCGCGGGGCGCTGGGTTCGGTCTGTATCAGCTTGGCTGGCCGGCAGCACGGGAGGGGCGGTTAGCGTTCCTTTCCCTCCCCCTCAGCAACCAGACCTGAAGGTTTTGGGGCATTTTGCTGGGATTCACTAGCTTCTCTTGTTATCTGTCGTAGGTGGCTCTTGTTGGGCCTGTTTTGCAAGAGCAAAGGGACTGTGGAGGTTTCCAAGGACTGTGGCCGTTTTTTTATTGCATATTTGTATCTTGGTGATTGTTTGCTGTTTACAATCTCCTATCAAGGCTGAGTGCCTTTCGCATTGATTCCTAATGCGATAGCTGCAGTTGTGCAGGGAGATCTCCCAGAGTGATAAAAAGGCCCTAAAATAACAAAAATAATCAGTGTGCTGCAAGGATCATTGCCTCAGGAAATTAAAAATTATATGGCATAGTGTGTGAGATGGATACCTGCTTGCGCTCAGCCAGCCACAAAAAGCTATTTTATCTGCTCTGTTGTCAGTCCCAGCAACTGTTCTTTCAGCTAGAGTTCCCAAAAATACTTCACCCTGTCTTGCCTCTTACAATGAGATAGATCAGCATCTGTCCAAAGAATGGTGCTGCAGCTGTGAGCCCCATGGAGTCAGCAGCAAGTGAAAATGTCCTTTCTGCAAGGGCACCATACATTTACATAATTTTAAAGCAAAGTGGACATCTCCCTTCTGCTGTGGATATGCTTACATCTTAGAAGCAGGGAAAGCTGTCAGATCAATCTGAGGAAAAATTAACCACTTTTTTGATTCCTTGGTGTGGGTTTTTTTCCTCAGCCTGATCGCTTTCCCAGTTGAGTTTACTGAATGTTCCTATAGCGTAGCATGGGTAGGAACAAGTGAGTGAGGAAGGGGCTAGACAGATGAGTTGCTGCTTAGCTCTTACTGCTGGGAAAATTAATGCAGCACCAGCAACGTGGAAGAGGGGGCACCTGAAGGTTCAGCTGTTGTAATGCTGTGCACTGAAGGGAATGTGTCTCTGTGGCTTGAATCTCAAGTGACTTGCAGTATATCACCCAGAACATTTGTGTTAGAACAAATGATGCTGTTTTTTGCAACAGTGGTGACACATTTACCATTTGAATTTATGGCACTCAAACTTTGTTGTGATATTAAAAGGATAGAAAGTTTTCTGGATGTATATTATGACCAATTATTTAGTAGCAAATGTCACAGTTAATGTTTCTATTTCCCAGGGAGATGACAGCCTGTCTGTGATAACCTGTGAATCAGATACAGAAATGGTGAGTTTTATTAATGGCGCACTGTGGATAAATGCCTTAAAAGGCCTCTCAGCATGTTCTTGCACACACTACATCCGCGTGATGCCTCCTGGTCGATGAGACACCCTTCAGAGAGGAGAGCTAACAATGTTATTGCAATGTAGTTTGGTTCAAAAACAACCTCTTCTAATCCCAAATGTAATTCTGTCATCTAAATTCTCAGCACTGGGGGCTGCAAATGATGTTTGGCTTCATTTTGCTGTTCTACCAATTTACAGGCCTAAATAATCCTTTTACAGAGTTTTAATGGAATTGAGTCAGTCTTTCCTTTAGCTAAATAGTTCTGCAGATTAGTCTCTACTCTGTGTTTATCTTGAATTTGCTGCTACTCGTATTTAATACTGATGGGGAAGCTCTTAGTGTCCTGAGTATGAATAGACTACTTTTTATCTGTAGTATAAAACTTCAGTAGGCACCACCTTAATTCTGGTGACCGTTGCTGTGGCCAAATCTGCATATACTTAATGCTACTATTTTTCTTTTTTATGCAGAAGATTTTATGTTACTAGAACAAATGATCTTCATACAAAATGGAGACTGAAGTCAAATTTGAGATTATATGCTGGAATCTTTGAGGAGTGGAATATTTTAAATACATAAAAAATTATTTTTCTCTTCCAGAAGTTAAAGAAGAAAATTTTTCACAAGCCTCCAAAGTCACCAAGTAAGTGTTCCAAAATTTTTTCTTCTACTTCCGTTATAGCAGAACAAGATAGATTTGTGGGACACAGGAACTGGAAGATTTACTTGATGCTACGTCTTATTATTCTCTTCAGAATTATTCACTGGTGTCTGCAGAGCACACCCATTTGAGATTTGTTCTCTTACCTGCAAAGTTAGACTTTTGTAGGCTAAATATTGAAGTTTATGGATTAGTTGTAATTCTTGATTCTCCAGCATGAACTACTTTCTTCTCACATTATCACTTCAAATGTCAAGCATTCTGAATTTCTTTTTGGAGAAATTCTGATATTTGCTGTATAGAGAGAATCTAGAATTACTGCAGCTACTTACCATCCAGTAGATATCTATTTAGATTAAGCAGTTCTCAGTTTTATTTATTGGTGTGGGTTTTTTTCACATGACCTTAGAGGTACAATGTTATTATTAGATCTGAAGTTTTGATGTAGGCGTTAGTCCTTTTTGCTGGGGTTTATGTTTTTCCATTTATGTTTATGCTTTTTCATTTACCTTCCTTTTTTATGTTTCCAGTGAACGTTTCAAAGAAGAATTTACCTCAAAGTATTGCTGTTTGTTGTTACTTTGTTTTGTTTCTAATAAATGAAATAATGTTGTACTTTTAAATTTTGCTTTAGGTTGAGGAAGAGGCATGCTTTTCTGGTAGATGTACATCTGTCTTCTTTCTTTTCCTGAAATCCCTTTGTTTGCCTAAATGATGGAATTTAAAATAGCTGTTTAATGTCAACTATAATGTTTGTGACATTGATTCTTACTGTGTGTACTTCTGCTGGTAATTTGAAGACTTAACTAGTTAGGCCATATAGTGCCCACCTGTGCTAATAATTTGAAGTGGAATTAGTCTCAGTATTTGAACCTGACCGCCATACCTGAAGCAGTAACTGACTCCCCAGCAGTTGCCTCAGACCAATTCTGTCTTTCAGTTACTGTAAGAAAATTGCTAGTGGATTAGTAGCTTTAGTTACTTTGGCCTTACATAGCCATACATATTTTTCTCATTGATAGGACATTTGCGTATGCATTAATTGAAAGGTCAATTTAATGTATGGATTTAGACATGAAGGTATCTTAAGGATGCCTATCCCAACTGTACGTGTAAATATTCCTACATGTATTGAGTCGTATTATTATTATTATGCCTCTTACTAAGTCTCTTCATTTTTTGGAATTGGATTTTTTAATTTAAGATTGTTTTTATTTTTTAGGTGAATAACCCATTGCTCTGTTTAAGCCAGTATGTAGTATGATGTTAAATTTAATTTTTATGAGTAATAGGACTGTGTCTGGGAACCCTGAAGCACAAGACAAATATATTTTGTGACCTTTAACTTTTTAAGACAACGCTGAGGTATTTTCTTTTGTTATAGAGTCTCCATACTGCTCTAGTACACAACTGTATCCTAAAAGAGCTGCAGTTTGGCGATCTCTGCAAGGAACAGGCAGTGCACATCTCGAGAGTGCAGCTGTAAAAAAACCAAGACAGATGTGGCTGGGATCGCTGAAAAAAGGTATTAGTATAGAAACTTTATCTGCATATATGGATAAAATTCAATGTAGTGGACATCTTACCATATAAAATCTTGAAAAATAGATTTATATTTGATTATAGGCTACATAGGAAGTAATTTCACTATTATTTATTTGGGTGGTTGGAATTATCTGATCTTGAGAATTTATAGAGGCAATAATTAACAGCATCTGGAACTTTCTATGCTGCATTTGCTCAGAATAAATCCACAAATTTAATTCACAATTATCCCTGATTTTTGCATTTTTGTTCCGTTTTTGTTGGCAGGAATGAGCCATCCTCTGAAATCAGATGTTGACATGGGGCATATGCGAACTAACATTTCTAGTAGCACTCCAGAATATTTGAAAGAAGCTCTAGGAATGAAGAAGCCAAAACATTCTCGTTCTTCTAGTAATGGTAAACTATGTAATGGTGTGGCAGAAAAAAGTTAATGATCTTTTTTTCTGTGTAAAAACACACATTGCTTAAGATCTTAGCTTTAGTAAAGCAAGAGCCATTTCAGTTTAGCCTCTATTAGAGTGTGTCATAATATGATCCATGAGATACTTCTTGAGATGTCTAAATTGGATAAGATGGGGGTTTCCAAATTTTTTTGAGCAATGAATCACTATTAGCTTTCAGAACTTTTTGCAAATTGCCATGCATTTGCAGCTGAAAACGTTGCAAATATAATATGGTTCAATGGGCCAGCTGTAGACAATTTACTGTGACTTTGCAAAACATAGTTTAGGAAGCATTGATAGAAACCATCTGCTTGCCTGAAATTCTATGTAATCGACTCCTTTTACTTCTCTAGAAAGTGTTTTATCATGTGGTTGTGATATTAAAATCAATTGAGTTTTATGAGAAGAGAAAAATTTAAAACTTTTATCCTGCTTTTCTTAAAGGAGAACTGTAAACTTACAAATCTCATTTCCATTTAAAATGACATCTATACTGTTAGTTGTAATGCACAGTTTCTGGCAACTTTAAAAGATGATAGACTTTTACATGTTCGGCATAAATAGGAAAATGTATTCTGGACACTAGCACCAGAGAGAAGACAAATAATTAGAAGTATTACTTTGTTAGTTAAAAATACCTCTTTCAAATCTGCTTATTTTATGTACCTTTTTCTGCAGGCTATGTTCCTGGAACTCCTGACTACAAAGAAAAAGAAGATATGTATGATGAAATTATAGAACTGAAAAAGGTACAGTCTCTCTGATACTTACGTAAAAAGTCAGTGTCACTCCATCCACCTATAGATGTCCAGGCCTTGCTGGTTCAAAATACTTTGGTTTCTATGACTGGGACATCCACCAAACTGTTTTGTGTTTATAATGTAAGGCTAAACTAAACTTGTGTCTATTTAAGGCAGTTTCATTGTTCTTATGGTGTGATAGATACTTCTGAGTACTGGATGTGGAAGCCTTGAAGTATACCCAGTTCTGAACCCCAGCCATGGCCCTAGCTGGACACTGAAAAGGTTCATTGCATTTGTTTTTTTTGTCCTTCCACCTTGTGGTGGTGGTGTTTTGCTTTGTTTTTTTTTTTTTTTTTTTTTTTTTGTTTGTTTGTTTGTTAGTTTTGTTTTGTTTGTTTGTTATTTCTTTGTGGATTTTTTTGTTGTTGTTTTTTTTTTTTTTTTCTCCTGGCTGTTACTTATCACATTTTAACAATTTGTCAGTTGAGTTTAGTGCAGTTTATGAAAGATGAGGACTGAGCATGTTGAACACTAGGCATACCTATAGACAAGTATCTTGGCTGTTGTAGATCATTTGTATAAGGTTGCCTTTCTATTAAATCTTTTCCTTTTATCTTTGCTCTTCCACCTCCCTTATGTCAGCCCTGATCCAGTGTGATGGTCTCTCTTATTTTTTTTCTTCCACTTCATCCTGACCTAATTGGATTGTTATTGACATCAAAACATGTTTCCCTGTGAAAACTCAGTGTGTTTCTATTTCTGATACATGCTTATGATTTTTCTCCCCTCTTTTAGACAGTACAAGCTCAGAAAAATGAGGGAGATCGAATGAAAACTAAGATCCGTCGATTGGAAGAAGAGAACAATAGAAAGGATAAACAGATTGAACAACTGTTGGATCCTTCCAGGGTGACTATTTCTTGGGGGGATAGAAGTGGGGCAAAAGAATGCTGAGCAGTGTGATCCTCTTCTCCTTGTCTCTTTAGATTTTGAGAGTCTGTAGTGTGTTGGCTCCTATGAATGATGAGCTTGAACATGAGAGCTGGTTGTTGGTGTGAAGGGACTTCTGTTTGTATGCCTCAGCTCACTAGTCCAGCTTAGTTCAAAGGAAGATCATGCCATGGTTGTGCAGATAAGCTTATTTAGCCAAGATACTTTTAATTTCTGAATGTAAAATTAAAATGTTGTCTCTTTAGAGGCCCACTTTCTGAATATTTTGCCTGAGAGTAGAAGGATGTTAACCTCTCGCATGGTGATTGATGCATGCACTCTTGAGACCTGCAGCAGGAAGCAAAAGATGAGCCTTATTGCCAGACCCACAAAGTTGAGAAGCATTTAGGGTCATAGTTAGAAGACCTGCATTTCACTGAATTCCTTGTGGCTGTCACTTTCTGTGTGCAGATTTACACCTTGGGAGAAATGTGTTAATATAAAACAATGAGCACAGAGACCTCACGTCTTAAGCTGTTGGGCTGTGAAATGACTGTGGAAATGAGTAGGGTAGAAAATCACGTGGAAAGAGCCAGAAGTAGAGTAAAATAGCAGGGTTGCTCATTTGCTTTATCTATCTTACTTTGCAGGGCTCTGAGCTGGCCCGAGCTCTGTCAGAAAAGAAGACTGATAATGGATGGGTAATAGTTTCTTCACTACCTTTTTCCTTTTTTCCCCTCTTGCTAAGCTGAAACACTACTGATTAAAAAAAGTAAAATGAAGTAAGAAATAATAAGCAATTAGGGAATCATGTAACCATTATTTCTATAGTCAGATAAGCAACCAGTAACAAAGATATGGAATTAACATTATTTTAGGGAGCCTTCTTTGTCATTGTCTTGAATCTGTTCAGGGAGCATTCTCCCTATTATTTGCTGCTTTGAATTTAGTGGGGTGATGGGCAGAGTTGGTTTTATTCAGTGATTGTGTATAAATATTAATAAGCTGGTTATGTTACCACATATATAAACTAGGGATCTGATTTCATTAGTGTTCTCTTTGTCCCAGGGTAGCAGACATGGGTATGATTTACTAAGTACTGAAGTATATAGGAATAAGTATATCTGGTTAGGTACAATTTATAAAGACAGGGCAAGATTATGGAGAAATAGAAATTCTGTGAAGAAATGGATTATTCTAGAACTCATGAGCTCTTTGTTCTTTCTGTAGGTGGTTAGTGGATTAAAGCAGAAGATTCTCAAGCTAGAACAACAGTGCAAGGAGAAAGACAACACTATTAAGTATGACTTGTGGTGGTAGAAGCTTGTTTTAGATGAAAGAATAAAGGGAATTTGAAGTCTGTGTGATTTTTTTCATATGTATTCTTCTCTGTTCCTTAAGACGTTTTAATGAACTCTGAGAACATATTAGCAATTATAAGCTACCCATCCAGAAACTGTAAATCAACAGGTATTGGAGCATCTTTGCCGGTCTGACTGGACTATTTTTTGTATTATTCTATTTTCAGCAAATTCCAGGCAGACATGAAGACCACTAGTTTGGAAGAAATGAGGATAGCTATGGAAACCTACTATGATGAGGTATGTCTGACAGGTCCTTCAATATACATATAGGAGAGGAAGTTGTTCAGTTGTTGAGTCGAGGTATAAATGGAATGTTTTAGATATGTTTCTTACAGCTTCATTGCACTGTCATTGGAATCAGATTTGCATAGATGTTCTCATAGCTCCAGCTACATGTACTGAAAAAAACTTTTTTCTTCAATAAGTTGAGTGTGTTAACCAAAAAAGGGAAATAAACTAATGTACAACCCTAAGTGTAGTGTCTAGATGAAAGGCAATATAATGGTAGCCTGATTTTCATTGATGGCATCATTGCATCTACTGCTACCTAAAGAGTCTTGTTCTGATTTTCACCTAATGGACAAATGTGTTGTTGCATTAGCCATGTCAGCTTCCACAGTTAGCTCCTTAATGGAATGTTTATTTCATATTTCACAGGTTCATCGTCTCCAACTCCTCCTGGCAAAATCTGAGACTATGAGGAAAAAGTATGTTTAATTCATTTGAAGCAAATGTTTGCATATATGTATTTGATCTATCACTTGTATACTACATTAACTGATGAAAAACAAGTACATGGGAACAGTTTCTTTTGTCATTCAGATTGCTGGATTTGCTTTTTGGTACTGCTTTGGTTGGCTTTGCAGCCTTGGCATATGTCTTAGTCATGGTGTTGGTTTTTCTTCTGTAGCTAGATCATTTTGTGGATGTGGAAAAAATACTAGAGCTGTTGAAAAAATATATGAAAGCTCTGAAAATTTATCTCTGTTAAATAAAATCCATCTTCCCCATAATCACACCTATTCTGACATCACTGGTGATTGAAACAAACTCACTAGATGGTTGGCATTTTACTCAAGTCAGTTCTACATCTTGCTCTAGGGTGTATGCTGCAAAGAAGGCATTTTGGAATAAAAATTGTTTTGCTGTGGTAGAGAGGGACAGATCTGCAAGTTAGGATAGTTTTTGTGAGATATACATGAGTGGTACTAGTAAGATAATGTCAGAGAAGATTGTACTAGCTTGTCACCATTGTGCGGGTGTATGCATGGTGGTAAGGGCAAACGGTCTGTAGAGGAAATAAAAATCAAAGCACAAAGGCAAAAGACAAAACTCCAGTAAGAGAGCAAATTAAAAGCATGTATGCAAGTGAGTGTTATTTGAGCTGAGAAGAGGGTAATAGTCTTGTGGGATAGGAAAATTTGTTACCACACCACTTCAAAATATGCTTGCCCTCCCAGTGTTAAGTAGAGGCAACTGTCTTAATTTTGGGAGTAATTATTTAGATTGATAGAAACATATGAGAACTATTTATGGGTCATTATGTATACTACTTGTGTTTTCCTAATTCACTGTCTCTTGGGGACTGAAAACTGCAATTTGTTTTGTCACTGTTTAAAAAAAAATAATTATCTCCTTTGACTCAGGCATGCAATGACTAGCCTCTTGAGGCTGTAAGCCATCACACCTAATTTATTTACAGGTGAAAATGAGTCATAAGGTCTCTTCCTTGTCCTCATTTATTCATAGACTCAAAAAGCAGTGGTCAGGGCAGTCTCTCTCCATTACGTGACTGTCAGTCTCTTCTTGAGAGGCTGAGCACTGAAATAATAAATGGTCTTGAAGGTCAGGACTCTGGCACATAGAAAGCATTGTAGGAGAGTGTTTTTTTTCATGATGCTTGTCTACATTATTTCTGGCTGAAGTGAATGGCATTTAGCTCCTCTTTTTCAGTGTTAACACTGAAATACGGTTATTTAAATGTGGAGCTGTAGTATCCAATTGTAGCTAGAAACTAGGCAACCTTTCAAGTCCTCAAAATAGTCTGCAGTTCTTTCACTTAGGTTTTGATGTGCCTGAAATAATGGCACTAAAGGATATGGTTATGATTTCTATCATTTCTGTCACTTCCCATTTTTGGTAATGTATTGTGTTTTGGTTGTTTTTTTTTGTTTTGTTTTTTTTTTTTGTCTTCCTTCTGCCTGGGACAGCTGTTACAATAGCCATCTACAACATCTGGACAGCCTTATTTGGTTGTTTTTATGGCTTCATTTCCTTTTAATTTCCAAAAGGTTGATTAGATTCAGTTTAACACTTTCATATGCTAATTGTAGACTGTCTCCCCCTTCACCTTCTGATTATTCCAGTGGATGGGGGATGTAAGACTCCTTCACAAACTGTTCTGTGATTGTCATTGGCAGTGGCATTTGTCCATAAGTAGGTCTTTCAGTTACTTCAGGCCTTTGTTTCCAGAAGTAAGTTTTAAAGAATTTTCTCATAGCAATAAAGATCAAGTATTTTATCTCACTAGAAATCTGTTTTGTGAACAAACTTTATAGAAGCTGAGATTTCTTCCCCCATTTATTAGAAAAATTTAAAAAGGCAAGATCACTGTAATATACTTAAAACAGTTTTAACACATAATAGGCTTTCCATTTTCTGATGCCTTTTATTCCCATCACATGGATGCTAGCTGTATTCTTCAAATCTGTTTCAAGTCTTTCATTGATTGAAATGTATCTTAAATGAAGAAAGAAATTTCTCTGGGGTTTACTTTCACAGGAACAGTTTCTTTTGCATTAGAGCAGCATTCACAGTTATCTGAAAATACACTTGTGTGTTGGATTTGTTTGAGAGTTAGTCCATCTATGTATAGCGCACTCTCTCTCTCCCAATCTCAATCTGTTAAGTGAAAGAAAGCAATTCAGAGCATGCAGGTTAGCTTTCTGTGCTCAACAGTTTTTTGGAGGAGTCTCCCAATTGGCTGAAGATAAGTGTTTTTAAATCAGTGATCCATAGGGTGGTAGTAAAGCATTATAAGGTTGGTTAACAAAACAAATAGAAACCCAAGTAAGTAGAACTCGAAAAATCACCCTTGATTTTGCGTTAATGAGATAGTGGGGGAGGACTGAAAAGTAATAAATGAACTTTCAATGTTTCAAAGTATCTTCTTTCTTTGATGCAAATTAAAACAATTGTGAATGTTTTGAGCAAGATGGTCCTTCCATGTTTTTTCTTAAAAGAAAAGTAAAAAATGTTGAGAAGTGCTGTTGTGGGCGAGTGGAGGCAGTTAATGTAGCCAGCTGACTTGAATGGTGAGGCTGTTCCACCCTTTTTAATGCTACTTCTTTGTTCTCTACTTTTAAGTTAACTTTCTGGTTTTGACCCCATTTCCAAGTACAGAGGGCAGAGATACCCAGAAACGACTAAAGGCACTGAATGCTGCTGTCCTGAGATTATCCAGGGATGTCAAGGAATTGCAGAATGAGAATCAGAGGCTGAAAGAAGATCTAGATCATGTGCTAAGCAGTTCTCCTTCTTCCAATAAAACAAAAAGTACGTGCTGAAAAGTTGGTGAACATGCAGCAAGGAATTTAGGTACATTTGAAAGATGTGTTTGAGAGCAGGGCCCTACAGTGGTAGAAATAAGGGAATTATTACAGAGGTGAAAATTCAGGAAGAGCAAAGTTTGGAATGAGAAGTTTCTTACAGGAGTTTGACATAGATATCCTGCTGCAGTCAGACCTGGGTTTCCTTTGTTATTGTCTCTGAGAATTCTGGGCTGGAATCACTTGAGTGTTTAATGCTTTACTGGAAAACTGGTTTCTGGTTGTTGAAAACTGATGAATGTGAATGATTTATTTTGATTTCTGAGCTAATTGGTATAGAAGTCAGATATTTTAAGAACATTCTCATTTTTTCACTGCTGCATATTTAAAGTTGGGGTTCAGAGGTCTTTAGACGGTTTTTCTATATGAACAGACGTTTCAAAAAGCAAGAATGTTGTCTCACTGATGCAGTTTCATGCTTAAAGCTTTTTTATTGTATTTAGATTATAGTGAGTGGAGCAGACAGAGGCTGGTGAGGAGGATTTCGGAACTAGAAAAAGTGAGTGATCATAATCATGTGGCCATCTTACCTGTCTTTGAGCAGAAAATGGAGAACCACTGGCTTGTGTTCATGGCACGTAGTCAGTGAATCAGCCTTGTGCATTCTGGTTCTTACATGTAAACTGATGTCTGTACCACGTGCCTTTTCTTCCTTTTTGCTCTTTTCATACTAGTTACGTGTAGATACACATTTTAGAATTAACTTCTATTTGCTCTTTGCTCGTGGCCTAAATAAAATAATTTTATGCTAAATTTAATTTTCTTCTTTTTTCTTTTGTATTTCTTGTGTAAATGTATCCTGTTTAGAAAGTATGTGCCATGGAGAACACCAGGGTGTCATCAGCAGATAGTGAGTCATCACAGTTACTTGCTGTGTCATCTTCACCTTCTGTAGACATGGATCATCCAGCCTCTCAACAGGTAGACCATGCTGAAGAATGTCATCGCCTCCAAGGACTAGTGAAGAAACTGAAGAATGATAGGAAGGCGCTTCAAAATCTCCTACTCAATAAAGAGTGAGTGCGACTCTTGTCTGAGATCATGTTCTTTTGTAGGTGCTAATTATTATTTCTTATCACATTATGAAATTATGTAATAAGTCCTTCATATTTTTAGCAAGAAAATGAATTTTGAGAGTCCCTTCAGCTTTTATTTCAAAAGCTTCTTCTAGTCCTACTAGTGGTGTCAAATTACATTGCAGAAAAAAGTCAGTGAGAGGATGGAAAATGAGAGTTTCTGCTTGTTTCTAACACATTTTTCCAGGCATACTTTTTTGCCAACCACACTAGAAAGCCTTTGAAGAGTTATATGTCACTTTACACAGCACTTCTTGCAAATATTTTGCTGTAAAAATTTGTCTTGTTTTTTAAATGTGTTTTGTCCTGATCTACCACTTTCTCCATTTAAACCTGCTTTCTGCCCTACGACGCACTGTGACTTCTTTTCTCCCCAGTAAGCCATTGATTTGCAATTTGTATTGCTTGGATTCGTTTGGTGTGTCTGTGTGTAAGGGTAGTTAGGTTAATCTGTCCATAAGTAGAGATGCACACACAACTACTTATTGTTAGTATGACACTACCTTCTGTGTCAAACTCTCCCCTGAACAAAAATGTATAGTGAGAGCATGTGAAGAGGCCTTTTACTTCTGAACAATGTATGCTTGCATTTTGTTTTCTTTAAAAGGGAAAATTGAACATTTAGTTACTTTACAAATTTGAGAAAACCTATTCTATTTAGAAGTTTAAACAAAAAATAACTACTTTGTTGAAGTATGAATGTCTTAAGTATCGCTTAGGTTTCCTTATACATTTGTAGATTAGATATCAGGCAGTTACTGCAGTCTAAGGCTGAAGTGGAGTTGGAGCTGCAGAAGCATCAGAATAAGATGGAACAGAAGAGTACAGAGGAGCAGATTTTAAGGTATCATATCTTGTGTTCAATCCTTTCAGAACCAAAAAATTATCTGTTAAAGTATAATTCTCTTTTGAAGTGGCTCAAAATCCATAGGAGATCATCTGAACTGCAGGAAGATGGGTATTTATTTAAACAGAACTGTTTTGGAGGGATGGGGTAAGTTACTAGGGGAAGAAATTTATAGAGTGATTTTAGAGGAAGACTAACAAGTATAGTAAGAATAGGAAATAAATTATAATAAAAATTAATAAAATAAATGGAAAAAGAGAGCTGCCATGTTGGGCTCAGAGACATTATTTTCTCTAAGAAAAAACTGTAGTATCTTTAGCCTATGCTTCTATACCATTGCCAATATGTCATTCCATTTACTTCATGCATTCTGTGTAACTGTTGATAATAATCCTGTGCAAAGGTGGCAAAAAAAAAAAGTTCTTTCATATTGTTTTGTAAGAAAGGACTTTGACAAATATAAAACTGTAGCACGTGTCTGTTACTATAAGAATATGTATCATGTTACCCTGAGCAGTTTCCCACTTTGGCCTTTAAAAAAAAAAAACAAAAAAAAAAAAAACAAAGCAAACAAATCTTATGAAATAGGTTCAGTATTTTCAAAGCAGGAACAATAGAAAATTTCTAGCTATAAATATCTTTGCTTTTTCCAACCGTAGTGAGGAAATCCAGAACCTGACACAGAAAGTAGGGAAATTAGAGTCAAAATTGGAGGAAGAGAAGAGACAAACGGCAGAAGATACAATGGAAAAGCTTAATAAGGTACAGACACATGGGGTTTTTTGTGGATTTTTTTTTTTTTCCCTTGCATCTAACTAACATTGCAAATTGAGCTTATAGTCTAAATAGCTGCTAGTTGTGTCTTTTCAGAGAGGCATTAAATCTTGTCGTAGAGATTCTGAATGATGGTTAATTCCCAGAGTCTGTTGGTAAGTTGTTTTAGTAATTACCACTGCAGCTCGGGGTTTTTTTGGAGCTGTTCTCTTAGTGATTATCTGCCCCACCACAGCTTTTTCTTACTCAGTGGAATGTTGCAAAAAGCTTACACTTCTAAGTGTGTGGGGTTTTTTGCCTTACTTTCTAAGACATTCATAGGTTTGCTTATGTCTTCTTGTAACATCTGAACCCTATTAACTAATTTCAGTCCAATTTTGTAGAGGGAGGGAGGTCTTATAGGAGTTGACATATGAAGGATAGAGACATGGGTAAGTATACTCACTGACAGTCTGGCAAAAGACAAAAATACCTTTTCAGTTATTTTTATGCTGTTCAGGTAATCAATTAGGGCACATGTGCTGTCCAGTCAGAAAATATTCATTAGCCTTTCTGTTTGGATGGAAGCTGGATACTTTTTAATGGGAAGGTTTACAGGATGTAGAGCACTTAATCATCATGAAAATTGAGGGATTTTTTAATTCCACTGATGGTAAAGAATTAGGAAAGATGTCAATACAATAAAATAAACCCTTATCCACTTTCAATTGAAGTTTTTCGTATTCATAGCTGCCTCTTTCTGGATTTGTCGCTATCTAATAAATATATTTGTATGTCTGTTAATCCTGGACAGTCTTAAATTGGGCCTTTGTAATCAGCTGAAGTTTTTGTGTGAAATATGACCGAGCTTGATATCTTTGCAATCTTCCACCCTCTGCCAAATGTTGTTGTAACTGGCCAGTAGAGATGAATGGGCACTGACAGATAAGCTTTCAGATACGGTGTGGTCATGTTAATCTCATTTTATTTAAAAACTATTTGAAAATTATTACTGGGGATTTTGATCATTTGTACTTGAAAATAAATAGACCCTGAAATACAGGTAGTAAAAAATATGAATAAAAATGTCCAGTAGCTTAAGAGAGTGCTGTTTTTTGATATACTGTGCAATTCTTCGGATTTTTTGTGTGTTATAGGCTGATGGATGCTAGCTGATGTTTTGAATACCAAATAACTTGAGTCTTTAAAAACAGCCAACAAACAGCTCCTTTTTTCCTCTGCAGACTATATATATTCTTGGCTAGTAACCATCCATTTATTGAAATGTTCCCATTATTTGTAATTATCACTAAGTTCCTACCAATTTTTCATTTTAATAGTAGGTTGTCATTTTTAATATAACATGATCCATTTGCTAAACTTAAGCCTGTAACTCAGCGTTTTTAGGTTATAAATAAATCCTTTTCACAGAATCAAGAGGTTTTTTTCAGAGTCTATAAAATCTCTTGTTCCTCTACTTAGAATTTTGTACCAACAAATTAAATTATTCTTTTAAAATTGCAGTTAACTTTTGTTTGGCAAGTGAGGTATGACAATTAGTATGGGATAATTAGGGATTAAAAGGATCAGATGGTGAGAGGTGGAATATGAAACCACACCTCAAAAAATAACTGGAATAAAATCTTGTTTTGTTCTTGGTTTCCTACTTTTTCCTCTAATTAATTTCTTCAAGATAGAAGAGTAGAGTTATATCAATTTATACAAGCTCTCTGTCTTGTTGGTGTCATATGATGGCCAACTCGCCATTAAGCTTAAACAGATGAGTATGGGGTCACAGTTGCCAGGATGAGACATGGGAGAGCTCCCCAGTTAATTAGTACTAATCTTTCCTGGAGAAGAATTGCAAAATTAGGTATCCTGACATTTCTTCTTAGTCTGTTGATAACATACAAACCATTTCTGATAAACAAAGCACTGGCTTCGAGTGTTGGAGCTTCTATTGTTTTAGCAATGCATAGAAAATCAGGAGTATGTGTAAATGAAAACATTTCCATTCCCATGCTCTGCTAGCAGCTAAAATGGGAGCAGGAATGTGTTTCACTGCAACAGTCATCTAGATGATGAGTTTGAACATGAGCAGTATTCAGAACTAATTGCTTCCTCTTTAACTTCCTTCCACCCTGAAGGCAGGATGAACATTTAACAATTTTGGTGATGATTTTTCTGAGTCATTTGTAACCTGTTTCCCTCATAGAATTCCAACTTGTGTCTTTAGTGCACTATGTTAAAGATTTTCCTTTGCAGTCTTCACCAGTTAAAGACAAAGAAGATCACATGAAGGAACAAGCAGCCAAAATCATCCAGAGATGGTGGAAGATGTACCGACACAAGGTGAGATCCTCCTATCAGGGAACAGTGAGGACATTCCACTCTGAATCTTACTCTCATTTTAGCATCGATAGTAACCTGCTGCAGGGCTCCAGGAACTGCAACAGTGCTTCCCACTGTGATTCCTTACTGCCATTTTCTCTTCCACTGCTTTTTTTTTTTTTTTACCAAGTCCTCCCTGCTGCTGCTTTTGCCTTTGCTCCCTAGAACCCTGTTGTTTCAGCTGTGAGGTGGCCACTTTCTGAATGGGGGAGTCTGGGTCAGCGGAGAACTAGGGAAGCGTAGCAGTGTTTGGAGCAGTGCTGCTGCTGTTGCTTCCTTGGAGTATAACTGAAGCTAAATTCCCCATGCAGAAATTCTCCAATCAATACGGGAAGTTTTGTATATTGAGATATGTTCAGCTAGGACAAAATAATCCAGGAAAAAAGTGTTAACTTTAAATTTTGTTCTATGGGTAACAATGTAATACTGCTTTTGCCACGTATATAGGACATGTGGTATGAGATGGGTCTTCTAAATGCTTCTTAGAGAACTAAAGACAAAAGGACTATTCACGTAACTTGCAAAGATTAAAAACTTTTTTTCTTTTTTTTTTTTCCTTAGGCTTGTTGTTTGAGTTTTCAGGGGGAGGTGGGACAGGTATTTCTGTGTGTTTTAATTGTTAGGGAAAATTTTGAAAATATTAGATAAAACTTGTATGTATTTGTGTCAGTAACTTGGATGTTTTTCAGAAAGAAGAAATTGCTCTGGATGAGGTGAGTGTGTTTGACACCCAACAAAACAGTAAAACAGATTTAATTTGTATCAAAGCACAAGCAAATAATTTTCTTATTTTTAAAGAGGTTTTATTGCAACATGGACTGTTGTACCAAGATCGTGTTTGTTCTTCAAGCTGGCTCATGATCTACCTTCTGACATCCTGGTTTTGTTTGATATATCTTGTCAAAGTGTCCCCCTTTTGGTCTCAGATCTTCTGTACTTGGTACCTTCTGCAAGATGAACAGTTCTGAGAATTCTGAACAAAATTTGATATGAACAGACAGAAAAGTTTTTCTATATTAGGTAATTCTAATAATGCTTTTATTTTCACTATGATGAATCTTCAGAAAGATCTGAAGTAGGAATTTGAAGCCTTTGCTAAGACGAAATGTCTTTGAGTATTATGAAGAAACTTTATAGAAGACTTTGTTTGACAGACTTGTCACTTTCTGATAAATGTTTTGCAGAAAGATTTTGATTAAACTGTTTTTTCAAATAGCACAACATAGCATCTTACATGTGTTTCTTCCAGAACATTAAAAATCCTTTCAGAAATTAGAACAAATTCTAACCATGGTGACACAAACATACTGTTTTATGTTTAGATGCTTTTTGTTGATTAGAATCCAGTAAAATCTCTGAGTAGAGAGGAAGGACTTATGTTCAGTGTAATCACCACAGTGGTCTACCAGACTTGGCTTGATTTCTGATTGTACCAGACCATCACAGAGCCTGCTGGGAAGCCAGGATCTAATACGGGCATGGGAGCACGTTGCTCTATTTGTGAAATACAGGCTAGTGTTGGCAGCTAGAATTTAACTGCATTTGATAAGCTCAATCTTGAGCACCTCCCAGATTGAATTTAAACTATGAAAATGTACGTCTATGGGTTGTTACAGGCTGGGGATTCTCTGGATTGCAGCCGAGTAGCTGTGAAGTAATGGAGATGTGTGTGTATCCCTTAAACATAAGAAAATGTCAAGACAACAAACAGTTTCCATTGCACAAGGAAAAGTTACTTTCCTTATATGCCTCTTCCCTCTGGACTCTTGTTTTAATTTATGGATGCCATCTTTCGAAGAAGCTAACATCTACTTATTTCTTTCCATGCTAGGCAGTTGTTATGCTTCAGGCAGCTTTCAGAGGACATTTAGCTCGACAGAAACTGTTACTGAATAACAGGATGCATGATGCAAAATCTCACAAGGTAATTGTTGGGGCAAATGGGTATCCAGGCATCCCATTATGTTTAGTTTACAGTGTATAATACTGTACTTCCAGACTTAATTCTCTGAATCACCTGGTGATGTTTTAATGCACTAGTTGGCAGCACCACTGTAATTCCAGAAAGATATCGAGCTCATTCCCTAGCCTACCTTTCCATCTTCTTTAGTTCACAGTTTTTAAAAGTAAAGCTGTAACTTCTCTGCATTATGGACTGTAACTAGGTTTCCTCTTTTTTTCTGGTTCTCCCATCAGCTAATAATGTACCTTTTAAGTCTTTAATGTGGAGTGCTATTGAAAACTGTACTTGTTCTTAGGTGTTTAGTAGTCAATCATTGTAGTAGTAGACAAACCTTTGTCACTGAAGTTCAGAAATAAGAATTTGGAAAGCATCTTTGAAAAGTAAAGGAGACTTGCATGTGGCATGCTCAAAGACTTGTAGTGTTCTCTGTCACGTCAAACTCACTCCAGATTGCTCAGTTCTGAATATGAAAAAATTTCGTTACCAATTAAACGTTTAGTTTCTGTAAGTCAATTGCCAACTTGTGTAAACATCCTTTGGACTTTTAGCAGACTAAAGTTAATTTGTAATTCTCCATCCAGGTTGTCCATCTGGTTGCACTTTTATTTCAGTAAACTGGCCCAGTGTAGTAGGACTGCATACTTTTGCTTGATAAAAGCAGAAGGTACATCCATCATGAAGGTTGCCTTGCCTCCTTCAACTTCAAAAGGTTTCCTTCCTGGAAAATAAATGAACTTTCCTTGCAGGTGTCTGCCCTTTCAGTAATTGAATACAGATGCTTCAAAGCTTGTATGATGATAAGGTTTGCATTTCCTGCTGATTTAGTCTTATAGAACCTTAAAGACTGCAAACCAAAAGATGGGAATATTTGCTCTACTACCACTTTCACAATGAAGAGTAAGATTGTGAAAGCTTCTGTGTAACCTGTAAAAGGTCAGTTTTCTTTGATCTCATTGCTTTGCAGGACTCCTGCATGTCTTCCATGTCAAACTCCTTGAGCTTGTCTTCTGATTGCAAGGACAAAGATGAGATTGTGACATTCATCCAATCCATATTCAGGGCTCACTTAGCACGTACAGTACTGCTTGAGGAGAGGTAAGTGAGAAATGGATATTTCTACAACATGCAGTAACAAAATTTGTTGTTATTACACGATAGGGGTCATTTCTCTTATAGAATTTTAGTGTGGGTTCCTTGGCAGAGGAGAACAAGGCCATTGTCCCAACAAAGACAATGGAGAGCTTGCTTGTGAGAAAATTCAAAAGGTATGCAACTAAAAGGGCTTCTTGTTGCAGCAGTAGTCTTCCCATATCCTGTTGCGTTCTCTCTTCCATACCAATGAGGAAAAGCAAAGTAAAATAATTACTCTTTGGAAAAAAAAAACAAACAAACCAAACAAAAACAAAACAAACCACCAAACAATCTTTAAAATTACAGTTGCTATCAAACTGATTGCTAGTACACTTGCTTAATGTTAGTGAATTTGAAGGCCTGACATGTAAAAGTTAAGGGTTATATGGAGGAATAACAGGGAAGAGCTAAAATGGCATCTTGCATGCAGTCTAGTAACTTAGCTCAGGAAGAACGCAGTGATTTGCTTACTGTTAGGTTTCTGGTGACTCTGTTTTGAAAAATGCTTCCTTTCTCTCCAGGGCTTACTGCTCCAAAAGTTTTTAATATTGGCTGCCATGGTTACAAGGAGAGTTACATACCTGTCACCTCACTTTAGTGTCTAAGTTCACTTCTGCAGGTGATAAGCTTTTGTCTCTTGCAGGCTAGCAACACAAGAAACTTTTCAGCATACCCTCTGAAGACAGACTGCAATTACTGTTCTGTGACTCACACTGTGCAATGGCTTTTTGCAGGCCCTCTGTGTCCAGGGCACCAAGTGGGAAAGCAGATTCTGCAGTTTACATTACAGAGAAGAAACCAGCCTTAGCAGCACTCCAGACACCTCATGCAATCTTCATGTCATCTCTTCCTGGTAATCTCATTTCCCTCTGTGTTCAGAAGTATGTGTGTTTTGAGTGGGTGCACACACAATTTTATAGAGAACATCTGCACATGCACACATATGCAAATGTATATTTGTACTCTCCATCTTCTTTTAATTTGATGACATGTTGCTTATACTGGCAAGTGCAGTCCTTTACATAAAAAAATAAAAGCTTTGACAGTGTCAGTACCAGCTTCCTCACAGCATTTTGCCTTTTTGTCACAACTGTGGTTTGGAAGGTCTCTCTCTGATGTGAGTGGTAATTATTCAAGGAACATGGTGTTCCCCTATATTGCCACTCTGCTTCCTTTTCAGTCCCCCCAGCCCTGTAGCTGGAGTGTGGTACTTTCCACTATGTTTTGGGCCCAAAGCCATAGACAAGCTGAGAACGTTTTCACCATCCTGACTTAGTTTCTGAAGGGACAGACATCTGGTAAAAAGAACCATCATAGTCAGCCATGTGTATTTAGTCATCAGTCTTCAGTTGCTGCAGTAAGAGGAAAAATGAAGTCCTGGATAACTTTGCCAACTAGTACTACTATAATACAAACTGGGAGAATGTCTGTCTTTTTTATGGCTCTTATGCCATTTGTTTTCCTTCTTGAATTCTTCATTGCTGTCTGTGAGAAATTGGAGTTAAAGCCAAAGAGGCTTTTAAGAGAATGTTAGAAGTACTGACTAGGGAAGGCAAAACAATGAAGCTGATAAGACAGCCTTCGACATACAGCTTCAAAGGAGTTAAAAACAAATTGGAAAAGGTTGGTTCTATCCAGAGTGCGATATTCTAGGCTTTTATGGAGCAGCTGAAGAAAAAAGAACAACTTTGAGGGTGACCTGAGAAACACTGACTTGTTTTTTTGACAATGAAAAGCTGACAGTCCCTGCAGACCTGCTCAGAAACAGAGCATGTTGTTAAGCAGCTGAGGCTGTTTCTCTAAGATATGAGATGGGGAATAAGACAGATTTGCAGGGGTTGTGAATAGAAGTTTACGCTTCAGTGAAGGAGTGTTTAAGAAATTTTACTCTGTGTGTGTATTTTACTTTGCGGAGCAGGTAGTACTTGCTTCTGAAGATGTTAGATTTTAGTGATTTTTAGTTATGTCTAGTGACAGTATCCAGGAAAAAAATGCTGCAACATCCTGTTTTGCCTGGGCTGTACTGCAGTAGTCATTATTGGTATGCTCAGTCTAAACCCAGAGCAAATCAGTTATGAAATTCTACCCAAAGAGAAAGAATCGCTTAAAAAAAAAAAAAATGCTTTGTGCTTCTGAAGAAGTGCTTCTAAGGCTTGGAGAAGAGTGTAAGACAAAGCTAGTCTGGTAAATGCAATAGTGTGAATACTAATAGAGCACAGTCACTGTCTAGCTATGAAGTCTCCAAAGCTAACTTTTATTGCAGATTATGATGACAAAGTGATGAGTGAAGAAGTTCTGGAAGGATTTATACCGGCAGGGATAGAGAGGAAGCTCTAAACATTCAAACTTTCTTTCTTGCAGTCCTTTTCTGTTGAATATCAAAAAGGAGAGACTAGGAGCAAAGCAGGTTATGTTTGCTGCTGATCTTATGAATATGGGAGATGTTTTCAAAATCAAGGATGAGGATAGAATGTACCTATGTAGTTTGTGAAGAGTCATACTGGATATGTGCTTCTGTAACTGCACAACTGCCCAAAAGACTGTCTTGCACTGAGTAGCTCTGTGAAATATTGGCTCTTGGTGCATTGGACAATTTAACCAAACTTTCCTGAAAGACAAATTGGAGAAAAACCTACTAAAGCAAGGAGATCGTTCTGGTATAAACGCCACCTCTATGAAGAAATGTGACCCCCTGGCAATCTGTTTGGTTATAGCACATTTTTTGCCACTTGATTTCATGTAGCTTAAACAGGTTAAAGTTAACTAGAAGTTCAATATCTGTCATTCATAGCTCATGACTGATATAAAAACCCACTGACAAAATTGGTTTTTGATGTAATGTATTTCACTGGTCATCCTGCAGCTTGGAAAGTATAGAAGACAAGGAGCTTGTTTAACAGCTGAGTGATTTAAAGCAATCAAATTCCTTTAGCTTTAAATCATGCAGCTGTTGAACAAGCTCTTGCTTCATTTGTCCCAAGTCCAAACTTGCATTTTGTGACCTCTAGATCTTGCAAGGATCTTAAACTTTCAGTGAAAGTATATATTTCAGTAAGTTATTTAATTTCATTAGCCTTTTGGCATTATTTTGAGTGGAATGGGAAAAAGTAAAATGTGTTTTAAAGAACCTTATGTATCTGCTAGAATAAATTTATATATTCTTGGTCTAGCATTACAGACTTTTAATTAATTGTTTGCAACCAGTTAGATGTCTCTGTGTAGCCTTTAATGCTGCTTTGCTTGTCTTCATAATGTGGACAATACTTGGAGGTTTGTGAAGCCATTTCTGCTGCTTCCCATGAAATGGAACAGATAATAACAATTCAGTCTGTGAAACTTTGTGTTTTGTTTCTTTCTGTCAGAGGAGTGGCAGGAAGGAAGAATATGTTCTGTACATGAACAGCAATCTTGAATAAGGGCAGCATTTCTCTCTGCATATTACTAGCTATTCTGGATACGACTGTTAACTTAATTTGAGGCTTTTTTGAAATGATAATGAATTTGCATACGACCCTTATGTCTAATCAGTGCTTACCCCTTCACAAGCACAAAGATAAAGTTGTCAGTCTGAGGTATATTAAACTGAAGACGAGGATGATAAAATCTCAAACATCAAGAGCAGGATATAATCAAGAGCGATTTAGACAATATTAAGCTATTTCATATACTATATCTGTTTACTATTGGAGTTGCATCTTCTAGTTATGCCTGCTTCTGGAAGTTTTCTTTGCTCATCCTTATCACCAGTACTACTGGCTCATAAATCTTCCTGAAAAGCTCTTACAGTATTTGTTGACTGATGCAGAGAAGAATTTCATTTAACTAGTGAGTTGTGTGTTTCTTTGGTTCTGTAGGTTGAGGTCAATGTAATGGTCTCCCTTCACTCCTCCTTTCCATTCACAGGCCCTCTGTCTGTCACTCTGTTTCTGGTCTGGTTGCAGTCCCCTTGCGTTATTCCACATTCCACTTGCTGTGTGTGCCTCCTCTTCCATACCAGGAGGGGTTTTTCTTCTGTGTCAGGAACCTCTTAGTTCACTATGAGACCCCTGGCATGTCTGTTCTTCTCCCCAAGTAATATTCTCTGTGTGCCCTCCATTTTCCCTTCCATTTCAGTGTCAAAATCTCAGTGTATGGCTTCTTACTTGTCTGTTTACTCTTTCTACCACAGGTTGTCTTGATTTGTTTTTTTCTCTGGGAGATAGGGCTTTCAAACAATTGATATTTTAAACTGAAAAATAAGTGGAGCTGAGGGGAGAATATTGCGCTAGGAGGTATTAATAGCTGTCATAATTTAGTTCATAGATCTCTTGTAGAGGGGATACAAGCTGCTGGTTCTGCTCATCAGATGTTATGGGGGTTTATATGTATTCATTTTATCCCTGTGATTTTCCAGTATTTACTGGAGTCATTAGGGTTCTATCCATTCATGTCCTGAACATTTCTTCAAGTGTTGGAATCAATGAGATACGTAGAACCACGTACCCAGAAAAACAGTAAAGAAGCAAAATTAAAAAACAAAACAAAACAAAAAAACCCAAACAAAAACCCAACAGAACAAAACTAAAAAAAAACCCAAGCCAACAAAACCCCATGGTGTGGTCACCATTTCTATTGTCATTAAGTAAGGTAGTACAGCATGTGAATAATGGGTTTGGTATTTTACAGATACAGGGATGAAAGACAGTCACTGAGAGCTTCCACTGTTTTTTTCCCCTCACTGATTTCCATTTTCTCTATATGTATCTGAAGTTCTCATTATGACCTTTTTGCTTCGCTTAAGCTTGCTTGGGTCAATTTTTCCTTTTCTGGCCATATAATAAATATTTATGGCTTCAGTATTGAATTGCTTTACTTTGTGGTGTGTAACCACTTGCAAAGACTTAAAGACAATAAGACAGATCACGAGTGGTCAGTATGTCAACGCTTGCCATGCATGCTCTTCATTAAAGAGCAATGGGAATTAGCTATATGCAGAAAAAGATAGATCAGAGTTATTCATAACTGTAGGTAATTCTGGAAACTTAATGGCTCAGAGAATATTACACTTCCCACAGGGGCTTGTTTCTGTTAATGTTGTTTATTGATGACCTTGTTTCCTTTGTAATTATTTCAGCCAGGTCCTCTGAGAAGTATTCGCAGCCTGCTCTCCCTCTGTCTGTGGATGAAGCTCACTCAGACGATTCAGATGATATTGTCATTGTCTCTCCACTGTTGCAGATGAAGAAAAACTACACCCACTTTTAAGTTTTGTCAACAGGCTCTGGTGTTCTGCAATTATTCAATTCACAAAACTGTTTCTACCAAGGTGAAGCATATCAGAGATGAAAGAGGGGAGATATCAGTTCCTTTTTATTGACAGTTGTCACTATTTCAGCCATAAATGAGTAATTGTTTGGTATGTCATCTCTGCAGACTTTATGGCTAAAAGCCACTGATTGACTGTTGACTGTTATCCTCCTGGTACGCAGAAAGAGTTTGGATTTAAAAACTAAAATGAAGCACTTTAATATTTTGTCTCACAATGAGGATTATAAATTCAATTGCCAAATTTAAATGAAAACAATAAAGCCTTAGGCTGTTTCATGTCAAACAAAGTTTTGTTTCAGGTCAACTAAAATAATTTGTTTAATCAGAAAGTGGTTAATGACATGGCTCCAATTTTCAGTCTGTGTACATGAAGGGGAACAGGTTGTATTTGCTACCAGGTGCTCTATTTAAAAATTTTACTGTGTCAATTTTTAATATCTCTTTTGTTTATTTTTATACTGAAAATTTACAGTCTATGCAGACCTTGTAAAGGCTTTTAGAAAGCCATTTCTTTGTCATAGGGCTATTCTGGGCCTACTATATTAGCAGGGTTTTCTTATTTATTGCTTTTTCCAAGTGTGCTTGCTATGATATGTATAGTACTATTTTGTATTTGAAATGTCCGATCATGTAATCAATTTTTTTATATTTGTCAGAGAAGGTGTATAATAGCAGGAGTGTTCTATGAAGGATACCCTTGTGACTGCTTTTTCTGCTTACATATCACAAATATGAGTGGATTATGCAGGGTCATCTCTCATATGTGAAAACATTTGACATAGGAGACATGTTGCTTTATGTCCTGTTTTAGCTTACGTCACTCGACTGTCTGAAGCTTTCACCTAACTAGCTTGCTCATGCACTGACCACCTTGGGGCTTTAAGTCTAACGTTGCTTTGCTGTTGTTGATCTCTCTTCTCAGTACCACTCTGCATGTGCACAGTAAGTCCAGTCACAGGCTGGGAGAGGGATCATGATATACAGCGATCTTCTGTCGTCAGGTAAAGCTACAAGGCTGGCTGCTGGAGAGCAGGGGCACTCCCAGCTCTGATCTGAGGGATATGGATTGGGATGAGCGTAATAAACAAAACCTAACCCCTGCAGTTTGGTTTAGGAATAGAAGTGGTAGGTTAGATTATAATAGAAAGTAAGACTACATCCAGAAATAACACTGTTTGACAGTATTGTTGGCCATGGAAGGACCAAAGACATAATGGGCTGTGGAGAATATTGTCAGAGGGGTCTTTCCAGATCTTTTACACAGACTGTACCCCTGCTTGACTGGAAGGAGGACCTTATAGCTCCTACTATCATGCCACCATCCTTCATAGGCATTACAATGTGTGGGGGGTTTTTTAAGGTGAACTAGATAAATTATATGATATTTACTGGAAGGAAAATTTAATTTTATGAACACACAGTGAAGTTTTTGTGAAGACCCTAATGGTTTCTTTGTCATCAAAGAGTAATAAAGACTCCTGTAAACAGAAAGCATGCTTTTAAATATAAGATTTTTATCACCTTTTCCCTCTTCTTTTTTAAATTAAAAATCAGTCGTCACTGTTTCACAGAATACTAATAAGTCATAGCTGTCTCGGTTCTTTGATTTCAATGAAGCACTATCTGAGGCTTATCATAGTTGATGCCAGTACTTGCAGCCAAAGAGGAAACTGGATGACTGCAGCACAGTGCAGCTGATTTCATTTAATCCCATCAGTGGAAATGCTGCCTGTGCTATTTCCAAAGGCAGTTTTGGGAGCTCTCCATACCCAAAGCAGTCTGAAGAATGTCATTTACACTCCCGTTGGGTAAATTTTTCCTGCTGGTACTTTGGTCACATGACTGTCATCTGCAGAAAGGATAAAAAAATATATATAACATAAAAGAATAGAAGGGATAGAATCCTCTTGGCAGAAGCTGAGACCTGTTTCCCTCTTTTTCTGGAAGTCATGTTATGAAAAGAGTCCTTTTGCTAGATAGAAACAGAGCTATACTGAGCTGCTTATGTATAATATTTCAAGTCCGTTACTGTGACTCTGTCATGGATACCTCCAGAGAGAGTAACTAGAGCTGAAGACTGACACATTAAGGGGAGAGTATGTAGCATGTCAGGACCAAGACTGATATAAGATACCTACCTAGCCGTTACCCTATCGGGAAATACTTGGACAGCAAACATAATGAAGATGGCATTCTTTTACTTTACTGTGCTGTAATAACCAATATGAAAGTATTAGGAGGTAGATACAGAGCAGGAAGACTTGCATCTTAACTGATCTTATGACTAGCAGTAGTGCTGTCAATAGACAAGTTCTGGGATAAAGGGGAGACAGTATCTTGGTATGACTCGGACAAGAATCAGAGTGAAAACCAGCAAATGTTTTTGAGGACGAATGAAAATGTGTCTAAAGTTTCCTAAATTTGAGTCTGCTATCTCCTAACTATCAAAAATCTGATGCTTAACCTGAGCTGGGATTCAAACTCATACCTTAGTTTGGAAGATAACTATATGCTCACTGCACATTAAAAGTTTGGTGTGGTACTGTAGGAAGAGAAACCTCCACAGTACTAGTAGCCTTTAATGTTGTTTTGTTATAAACTGTAATAGAATGTGTTGAAAGCAGTAACTGACACTAAGTTTCATTCTGTGGTTATCTATCTGAATGCCAGCACCTGTAAATCTGGGAAGAAGTGTGGGACAATGAAGGAAGAAAAAGTTAATTTTGGAATAAATGGCATTTTTCCTTAACGGAGAGCTGAGGACAGTAAAAATCGGTGTGGCATAAACCTGTCAGGATAGGCCCAATACAAACATACTCAGTTTCTGAAGAATATGTCTTCTGTAGAAAGCACTGGGAACCTTGTGGGGGCGTCAAGGTCTTGAATTAAACTCCACTGTAACCTACGTAATCTAACAGCACACTTTCCGTTCTGCTGATACGGGATCATGTTGCCTACTTAAAACCTTTTGCAATTTACAGTAGTGTTAGAGATCGTGTGTGAATACAGAGATCTGACTTTCATGCGTTGTTACCTCTCTTGATCTCGTTTTGCCCTTAAGTGCCTTTGCCTGTAAATCTTTACCAAGGTATCAAGACCTGAAAACTGTATCGTTTTCTGCATAGCTATAAAAACAGTCCCCGCGCAGGCAACTTTTAATATAGTCGAAATGGGAAAGGATTAATCTTGGCACGTGAGAGCGCCATTAATTTTTATGACATTTTTAATATTTAGAACTGTGCAACTCTTTCATGTAATTTATTTTGGGATCTTTTAAAAGCTAAAAGAATTACAATGTATTTTCTTGTAACTGTTGAACTTTCAAATAAAGTTTGTAAATTAATTGTTCATGCATTTCTTCTGTAGTTGCTGTATTTGCACTGCTCCTCTGGCCTCCTGTTGTTTTTGCTTTGTACCTAGGTTCACCTTTTAGGTCTGACTGTTTTCCTAAGCCAATAGTAACACAGTAACTCTGAAACATGGAGGGTGTGAAATTTCTTCTTTAGCACACCTTCAGGATTGTCCCATCAGGAATGATCAGTGTTGCTGACCAAAGGCTAGTGGAATTGAAAGAGGTCATGGGCTTTTGCTTTCAGTCTTGTCTTCTGGTGTTTTATTCAGAAACAAAATCCTGTCAAGTAGTTCTGTAAGTAAAACCCATGCCATTGCCTCAAACATACCTGGTTTTGTGCAGAGTACAGCAAGTTGCGTTTATGCCTTTTCATCTGTTGTTGTGCTGCTTGCTTGTTGGTTGCAACAATCACATTGACCCATTACCAAACCAGTGAAGTTCAGATAAAAGATTGAAAAGAAATCATGGTGGTGACTGTTCAAAATAATCTGCCAGAGAAGAAAAACATGCCTGAGTATGTTATTGATGCATACTTCCCAGAAACCTGTTGTAGGAGGGATGCAGAATGGATAACCCCTGCTCAGACTCTTTGGGCCACAGAGCTCTCCCTGTGCCAGGGCTCGGTAGTGCTGCAGACTTGCAGAGAGCTGGGTGGAACTGATCTGCTGTGGGCTGCAGGGAGAACAGGAGTCTACAGGGTTTCGAAGACTGTACCATTTACTTACAGTGTATCCCTTTCCCTTGATTACTGTTGCTGTTTATGAAGCTGTGGTGGAAGGAGCTAGGATCTATGTATTCCTTTCCACATCCACTGAAAAAGCCTTTAGGGACTCCAGGGAAAACCAAGCCTTATGCTGCTTTATGGAGATAAAAGACCCTGGTAACTGCTGTTGTGAAGACATGGGAATCCTGTAGTCACCTTCCTATCAAGCAGCATCCTTATTGAAGGACTGAAACAGCTATAAGAGTACAAGATGAAACAATCTGTGTTTGATTAATGTATTATCTAAATTTCACTTTTTTGTTCTTTCCTCTCTGTTCTACTGACATGTTCTGTATTTCGTAGCAGAAACTTCAGTTTTAAACCTTAAACACTGGAAGTAAGCCATGTGGCACGAATGGAAAAGTTTTGATATGATTTCTTGGAGCAGATTAGTCTTGAATTCAGTTGAAAGCAGTTAAGTGTTCACACTAGTTGTACTAAACCATACTTTGGTTTCATCTGAAGTCAGAATGCCTTTGACTCTTGCAAGCTTTGCAGCATCTGTTTATGGTAGGTTTGTCAGCTAAGTAATTGATTTCTCCGTATGAATGTCTAAGGTGGGTAAAAAAAAGTTTCACTCATTCAGTGGGCATCATTAAGACCTGCAAAGAGCAAACTATCCCTGTTAGGCTGTAGCTTATTAGGGGAGGATTTTCAGGTGTGGTTGGTGGTCTGGTACTGCACCAGTTCCTCTGACATTTCCTTCTAATGTTTGCTAATGTAGTTCTTTGCCTGGTAGAGACAGCACTGACACCAGTTTCTGACTGTTTTCCCTGTTTTCAGATGTGTATAAGACATGTTGACTCTTGCTTGTGTGTGGCCTTTAACACTCATTCTGTCCTCGCTGTGCTCAAGGGAACAGCCTTGAATGATGAGTATTACTATGTTCTTATTAACTAAACTCTCTTGTAGTCTACTGATCAAGTTGTGCCCTGCCCCTCTTGCTACTTCCACTGCTTGGCTGTCCTAATTGCCTTTTTCAAATCTGAGAGCATAGGTACTTGTACTGGTCTCCAGGATAGCATTCATGTTGTTGCCCTCACCGGAGCTGTATATAAACAAAACTTCCCCCCTCAAGATGTTGCTCAGACTGTAACAGCTCCCCTTCTCTTTGGCAGGTTTTCTGCCAGCATGCCTCAGACGCTTTGCACTGGGTACCACATAAGCATCTTTAGTGCTTCTATTCTTGGAAGGGCAGACAGATGTGTCATAAAATCTTGATGCTCAAAACGGTCTGGGAGGAACCAGGAGGGACATCATGCCTGTTGTAAAGGGATATCTTACATCCCTTGCTATCAGCCAGATAATTCCACACCTGGATCTCACTTCTCTGCCCCTCCTCAGTCCGTCAGCTCTGCAGAGATAAGGTTTCAGTAATAGACCTTGAAAGTCTTCCCTGTAATATGAATTTAGAAATGAAATACTGTAAAATTTGTCATTTGATTACAGTTCTGCTGTAAAAAAAAGGCTATGTTTGAATGGCCTCTAGCTATATGCATGAAAATTAGAATAGCTTTTAATAAACAGGGGATTGACCATTAATGCCTGTAGTACAAGTTATAATGTTCTGCACAAACATTACTTAGCATTGTCATTATCTAGCAATAATCCTTATTTGTATTTTACTCAAATTGTGGCAGAACCTTTTATTTATCTAACCTGGAAATTTTTCCGAAACAGGCTCTCTATAATTTACACAGAGAATTGGCAGTTTTCTTCCCCCTCTTGGCAGATATTTAATAGCCACGTATTGCATTTCTATGCTAGTAAACTTTCATTGTTATACAAAATGTACTAGAATGTTATGAAGAAATATCTTAAATAATTAAACAGAAACTATGAGTGACAAAACAAACGAACAAAGTGCAATTTGAGCTGTGTTATTCTTTCCTTTTTATATTCACTTATTTGCTAATTTGCTGAACTTACTGAACTGCAATGGGTCTTGCTGCGATTAGAGAGAATTTGCCAAGCTCCTTTGTAATTGTTTTGTTGCAATTAACTAAATAATAGAATGTTCTGTGTGTTGCTCTCTGGGGAAAGGAAAGGAGCAGGCAGGTGCTTTGCAACAGGATTTCCACATCTTCCACACATTTCTCTGGAACTCACCAAGTATAAAAAGACTGGTAGGACATGAGAGAGAGAGTATTACACCTCAGGACTGTAAATGACAGAATTAACCTTTTCTTATTATTTGAGTTTGCATAAAGCTTTTTATGCTGGTCCTGATTGTGGCAATTCTCTTTTTAAACCTGTAAGTCTGTAGGAGGACTTCAGAGGAAAGCAATAAAGACCCAGATGTACGTTCCTGTCTGCAGCTGCCTCCACTCGGGGGAAATCCTTCAAGCTGGGAGGAGAAGTCAGCTGGGAAGATCCCTGGCAATGTGGCTTTGCTGGGGAGAGCAGAGGCTGCAGACTGAGCTGTTGTGGAGGGGGCAGTGAAATCTGGGGGAGGCTGGAGAGCAGCCCTGGCTTTGTTATTTCCTTTGACTTTCAGCAGAAAAATACAGAGGAAGCCCTGGGAGGAGAGGAAGGGTATTGTTAATCGAGGCACAGTCTAGCTCAGTGGGAAGGAGGCATGGCTTGATGTAAGGGCAGGGTTCCCGGAGCGGCAGAAGCAAGCGATGCAGAGGTGTTGCCGAACAGTGGCAGCTGAGTGTCGAGAGACAGTTGTCTTGCTGAGCTCCCTCTGATTGTCCATACTTTAGTCCCTAGTCTCAAGAGGGTATCTCATCCATCTGCTGGCACTTGGAGTTCAAACTTGCCTTTTTTTTGTTTTGTTTTGTTTTTAATCTGTATTGTTGGCTAAAACCTTTCATAACATATATTAGGTCTGACAGTCAGGGGAAGACTCCGCAATTCACAGTATATTAAAAGCTGGATTATTTCATTTCATAGTGAATAAAAAAAGCCAGGGGTATGGGATTGCTGTTCTAAAAGGTGCTCTCATGGCAAGTATCACATCAGCAGTAGGGGTGTCTGGAGTCAGAGAGAAGCTTGTGAAGAGTGAAAAATGGTGCGTTTTTAGGAGTGCTTTTGCAGGCTGCCTGATGGCCTCAAGGAGACAGGGGACAGCACTGGCTGCCTTATTTTGGAGGTTTAAACTAGTCTTTTTATCTTCATTGTCTTTAATTTGAGACATTTCTCACTTGCCTATTTTGACCAGTGATTCTTTGGCAAAGTCACTGTAAAAGCAAGTTAGTGAAGGCTAATACGGCTCTTAGGGTTACTTTTCAGCAGGATTACCAGCTAACAAGCTGACATTTGCAGTTTGCTTTGGTTGATTGTAGAACTGCTTTCCATGCAGGGGTGATTTACTGTTAGTTTTTATTCCTGGGATGTCACAGTAGTGGCTTGTTTGTTCATCTTGCTTTGGTAAAACAGAGTGTACCTATTTGTATGGGGAGAAAAAAAAGGCTGGCATAATCTAACCATGAGAGCCTTGATAACGGTCTTGTCATGTAATCAAAAATTACCTGAATAGGATCAAATGGGAGATGCTAGACATCTAAGAAATGGGAACACTACTTCGTGATGTAGTACAACAGGCTGAAGTGCCCTGCCATGGAAAGTACAGCTAATCCTGTGGTTTGTCTCTTATTCCTAGTTTGCTGAATGAATTTTACTCTTCATTTTAATATTTTCCCATATTATTATAAATAATTGTGAGGGAGGAATTAAAACTGTTGATGTCTCTGTTTCTCTGTAGTTCCAAATCCTCATTCTACATTAATTTAATCCAGTTGTCTCCACAGCAAATGGTTGAGAGAGGCATGCAGACCAGCACTGCTGAGCCTGCTCCCTTTCCCACTTACCCCTTGCTCCCTGTATGGTGCCTCAAACTGCTGCGCTGAGACTCTGGTGCTTACACCCCCATTTAATAGCAACCAGCTTTTTCTGTCATTTGTTTCAAAATGTTTTGTTAGGTTTGATTTACATCAATGCTGTCAAACAAGATCTCAGTGTGGAGTGCTTGTTGCATCTGCTTCTATTCTGCATCCATCATTTTGCTGACAAAGGTACTTGGACTCGCAGCCTGGTGGGTTTTCAATCTATCCAGAGGCCTGTGGCAGCACTAACATCTGCAGGAGAGATTACAGCCTTGAGTGTTGTAGGGCAGAATTCCATAAACTCTGTAGCAACAAGTGGCTTACACAGAGAGATCTCTTGTCCGCAGTGCTATCTTTCCACTCCTTGTCTCCAGGTTGTCTGAATGTAAAATATGTTAGATCTTTGGGTTTTAGAATAATTCTTTCTTCATCTTTGCTGGCCCATTGGGGAAAGAAAAAAAAAAAAAAAAAACACAATTGGCTGTTGTTCAGCTTGTTGTTCAGCTGTCCTCTTGCAGAAAAATAAAAACTTGTTTGGACAAGGCTAGAGAGAGTTGAGGTCTTATATCTTGTACCCTTGTATATCTTGTACTTGTGCACATACTGCGTGGCTGTGAACTCTCTGACGTGTGCCTTAATGCTATTTGTGAACAATAAGATTTCTTTTTAGTTCTGTTGATAATACTCATGAAAATCATGTCCTAGTCAAAAGTTATTAGAGTTGATGTTATATTTCAGAACACCAGCAGAAATATGTTTATTTGGTCCTAATGTGTTAAATAGCCCATTTTAGCATTTTTGCACTCCTTATTTATAAAATGCATCAGTGAGGACAGCGTAAAGCATAAAGTCCTAGCTGCATTTGGGGAAAGTAATAAAATCATACTTGCAAGAAATGTCTCTATAACATCTACTGACCTTCCACCATTTAGGAGAAAAAAGCAGTTGGTATTACCCTTTTTTTACAAACAGGATATACCACACTCTAATATTTTGTGAGGCTTCCTGTGTCATAACGCTTTCTAATTCAAAACAGAGGTAATGGGATGAGGGTTTCTCAAATGATGACCTGTGAGACAATTGCTTGAAGGCTTTTCGAAGGCTGTATAGTCCTTTTTCCTCTTCCAATTTGCACTGAGTGATATTTAAAACACATTGTTTTCAGCTTGTCAAATCAGCAGTGGGTGAGGTGTGCTGCTGCAGAGCTGGGATGGGGAGACTTTGGTTTGTATGACCGCATGGAGAGAGCAAAGGCCCGGGAGATAGTCTGAATAGATTGGCCAAGTTCAGGAACTCCTGAATTAACGCTGGACCATACTACATAGAGCAAGAATTAAATTATTTGATCTACTCCTTTTAAAAGAAAACAGCAAACATTTTTATACATTTCAATTGTAACAGGAACAGTACAATGTTCATAATGAAGCAAATGGATTGGAGATTGCTGCTTCTTACTGCTGTTATCTTTTCTATTTTATGCTGCTATCCTAACGTTATCCAAAGCATTTATGTACTTACTGGTTTCTGACACGTCCTCCCTGAGAGGGTGTGCTCGTATTTTTTACTTTTAAGACTAAAAAGAGTTTGGTTATGTTCTGTTTAGAAATAAATTAAAAGCCTTTCCCATCGGGTCAGAGTATAATCCTTGGGAAAGTGGTGTCTGCGCGGCTCTGTGGGGAGCACAACACATGCTGATCTGTTATGCACAACTGCTGTGTTATGCAGTAAGATGCCATCATTGCTTAAATACTTAGGTGTTTAATTCATGGCTCTGATTTACGTCATCATCAAAACAAGCTGAGAATTCCAAGTCCATTGGCGTTAATGAAGCAAGGTAATTGGCTTTGGGTCAGGGTCGGAAAGAGGCCAAACCTTTGCCTGCGGAGAGAATGGTGGAAGCTAAACCAGAGCGTTCCCTGTCTCCATCAAACAGGTGAAGACTGGCCACACTTGAAAATCACACGAGGGGCCTGTCTACATCTTTAGACACCTCGATACTTCTAGAAATTTGCCCGAGTTGTGGCAAAACTGAGACAGGCTGGGGAAGCAAACAGGGAGCCAGTGCCACAGGAATGAATGGGAGCGCACCAGCTCCGGTGAGGGTGCTGGTGTCTGAGGCTTTTCCTTGGCACCGCTGAGGGAGGTAAGGCGCCAGGCGGTTGGGTGTCTTTCGGGGTTATTTTGGAGGGAAAGGGAGAAGAGGGGGACATGGTTCGAGGCCGGGTGTGGGACGCCGACCCTCTGGGCCGTGCCCCCATAGCGTCATGTTACCACCCGAGACGCGGTGGCGGAGAGAAACGGCTGCCGGCGGGCACGAAAGGCGGCCGGGCCCGGCCCGGCGGCCGCCCGAAGCGGGGGAGCCCTGAGGGGCCGGGGGAGCCCTGAGGGGCCGCGGCGGGCGGGGCGGGGCGGGGCGGGCCGAGGCGGCGCCAATGGGAGCGGGCGGGCGGTGCCGGGCGCGGAGGCGGTGGAGCCTCTCGGCGAACAAAGAGGGAGCGAACGGCGCGGCGGGAGGGAGGGAGGGAGGAGGCGGGGGGTGCCGGCCATGCGGGGCCGCCAGCCGGGGCGCGGGTGAAGAGGGAAGGAGGGAGGCGAAGCGAAGGGAGCGGCGGCGCTTCCATGGCCGGCGGGTCGGGGTGAGGCGAGGCGAGGCGGCGCGGTGGGGATGGCGGGCGTCAGCTACTCGCCGCCCTGGTGGGTGAGCCTGCTGCACCGCCTGCCGCACCTCAGCCTGCGCTGGGAGCTCACCGCCGCCGACTTCCGACCGCACGACGCTGAGTACCAGCAGGTAAGTGCCGCACGGGGTCTGGGGGAGGTGTGTGTGCGTGTGCGTGGTTATGTCCCGCCTGGGGGCCCCTCACAGCCCGCGCGGGTTTGTACACCCGTGGGCTGTGCGGGGTTGAGGGTGCAGAGGGGGCTCGGCCCGTCTGGGGGGGGTGTGGAGGAGGAGGAGGAGGGGGGGGGCTCCGCGTGGGCCCGTCGGGTGGGTGTCTGTGGGTGCCATGTCTCCCCAGTTCTGTGGGGTGCGTGTCCACCCCACGGGGGGCAGGTTGTAATGCGGGGAGGGTCTTGGGCCGGGGGCAGGAGCCGTCCCCCGGCGGGGTGAGCAGGAGCCCCGAGCGGCTGGCAGCTCGCTGGAAGCACCAAGTTCTTGGGAGAAGGCGAAGCGGTGCCCTGGGAGGGGGGGCGGGGGCAGCCCTGGCCAGGTGCCCTCGCCAGGTCCCCGCGCTGCCCAGGCGAAGGCACCGGCCCGGCCCGGTGCCCCCCTGGCCCGATCACACCCGCTTATCGCCGGTGATAACTGCCCTGTGTCCTCGTCATCGATCCCGCCAGCCCCGCACCGCCGCGACCCGCAGAGAGGCCAGCAGTGCCTTTATAAAACCGACTTACTGCCTGCTGGAAAACAGATGACTTAATGCATGAGAGCGGCATTACCATCAAGTGCACAGGAAGATGCTTGCAGAATACTTGTGTGCTGCCTTTTTTTTTTTTTATTTATTTATTGCTGCTTAGCCTGTATCCCGTGCTTGGTTGGCTAGGCATGTAATTAAAATGATTGTGGAGTGAATCTGTGTGCTCTAACATCTGTGTTCTCTGCTGTCATCTTGGAACTGAGCTGCAGTGACTCTGCTGCCTCGTTTTGCCACAGTCTCCGGTTTTGAAAACACCATTTTGCTTTTCTGAACATACTTGCAGTGTCCTATATACACAGCCTGCTATCATGCACGCAGGCAGAAAGGCTAGGACGTCTAAATGATTCTCATGTACCCTAGAAGTAAAAGGTATTTAGAAATACTTTGGAAAGCAGTATGTGTTGGCTTTTTGTTTTAAAAAGATGAACAGATCTGTGGGCTGAAGCTAGAGCAATATGTGAGAGATGTATTTAAAGAGCAATGGGTAGATACAAAGAAACATCTTTAAACTAGTAAGCAAAACAGATTTTTGACCTAACTTTCATATTTGGGGCTTCAATTTGTTAATTTGTTTTAGTTCCCTTGACTTCAAGATGGCCACACACAGATGTAATGCTGCATAGCAGCTTAACTGTATTTCCATGACCTCAGAGGGTAGCTGCCTTTAAAACAAGGTATATGAGATGCTGAAGATCAGAAGTTAAGTTCATGGAAAGGTGTTCTCGGGAGCGTGTTATCATGAAACAAGCACTTGTTGACCTCTGAATAGACAGCCAATGTACTGTTTTTCACTTTAATTGCTTAAAAGCATTCCTCTCGACAATCTGGGGTTGTGTTCATTTGTTAGATAATTTTTCTACAGTAATCATATTCTGACTTAAAGCCTTCTGCTGTTCTCCTCCTGTGTAGCTGTCTCCCCTGCCTTGATGATATTAAGGACTTCTTGCACAGCCATAGATGGCCTTTTAAGTCTTAACGTCAACCCACAAGAAAATGTCTTATCAAATCTAGACTTGAATGTCTGGATTACTGAAGCGCCTGTCATCAAGAGAATGATTTGAGTAGCAGCAGCTTTGCTGGTTTCGGCATTGGTGAGGGATAGCAAGCAGGCTCCAGTAATGCAGCCCGTGTTATCGGTGTCGCCAGTTATATAACAAAGCTGCTGTGGCTCTGTGAGTTGACTGTGGAGTTCATAGCCATGTAGATTAATTCTAATACAGTGAAACAGGGAAACCTAATCCAGTAGTGGGGACTGTAATGCTAAATGCTCTCTCATGCTTTAAATTGTTCTGAAGGCCTTTTGGTTTGAATTCTAGCTTTTTCTATTAGCTTTGTTATGAATTTGCCTCTCTTGCTCTGTTTGCAGCCTGTGCTGGCATAGTCTCCCCTTTTCTTTAGGAACCTTTCATAATTAGCTGTCAAGATCATATATGTCCTGAAAGTAAGAACGTCCATTTTTAAAATTTAAATTCTGCACATTTTTCTTTTCTTTGTAGGTCTTATTGGCACAAATTGTGTATATTTTTGTTTTATACTCCATCAGTGGTTGATACCCTGGTTCTTAAGTATAATCTGTTAAACTTCACGTTGGGTTTGAATTCTGCAGTGGCTGAAGAGAGGTCAGCGGGGGATGCTAGCTGGGAGTTTATGGGGATGGGAAGGGGCAGAGTGTCCCTAGATGTGGTAAGGAAGGATCACCTTTACTAAATTGAAAATACTTTTAAGTTTCCATGACTTCAAGTCATCAGGTAGCTAGACTGTTATCATACATAGGCATACAGCAGGGCTCGGTGTCTGTTCTTAGTTCTGGTTTGTGATGAGGAAGGAAGCAACATGTCCTATCTGATTCTTCACTGCTTCTCTAGAAAAGATTTCCCAAGCCATGACCAAGGGAAAACATTGCTTTCCTTCTAAAGCTGATTTCTTTACTAACGTCTTAGTAAAGACCTACCTTTTTTTTGTACCTGTGTTTTGATGATAGGCTTTGAACTTGTGCATCAACTGAACATCGCATTTCAACCAAAAGTGAAATACAGTGGCTTGGATTTGAATGTTGTCCTGTCACTTGTTGCAGTGCCACATGCTCCTGCAGGTGAGGAGGCTGCTGATTTAACAGGCTTTCCACCTCTACCTAGCCAGGATTACTGTAATGCGCAAGCTACTATTCCACTGAAGCAGCAGACAAGCTATTGTCTCCTGAGACCTCTCTGAAGCACATGTAGGTTGTAGGTAAGCACATATGGGCCAGCCATTGAAGTCTAGGTCTTTGTTGTGTCTTCTGGGACCCTGGATGATGGGGGCTATCTAGAAGGATGTAGATCGAATGGCTAGTTACGCTGTTCTGTCCCATGTAGTCCCTTTCATCAGAGCAGAGAGGGTACCTGCTGTGCACCGGCCTGTCTCGAGGCGGCTGTGTCCATTGTGTACCAACCTACAGGGGCTTCCTCCTTTTGTCTGAGAGCATGAGAAATACTTATGGCAATGTTTGTTTCCAAGGGCTGAGATCAATGCAGCTGCAGGTTTTGGCGCATACCTTCTTCACCTGAGTCGGTCTCTAAAATGCTCTCTCTTGGTGTTACTTACTTCTTATCTTCTCCCACAGCGTATCTTGTTGCATTATGTTAGAACAGTGTGTGCGAATGTGGAGGAGCAGAACAGATCCTTCCCCTCTGGACTAGATTGTTTAAAAATGTATGTGTATATGTATGTCCTTCAGATGCTTTGCTGCTGTCATGACAAGCTGTGGACAACCGTGCAACTAGTTGTTTCCTTTTTCTGGAGGTAAGCTGCAATGCAGAATGAGCTGGGGTTGTGATCTTTCTTCTCCAGGGGGTTTGGCATGCTGGTGAGTCCTGTCAGAGCTGCCTTCATGTGCTGCTTGCAGGACTTGCTCCATAGAGTCATCCCTATAGAGGATCTTATCAGACCAGTTCTTTTCCTAATCCTCCCATGAATCATTGGGGTTGGCGATATCTTGATATGAACGGTTTTGTTCTGGCTGTATTCTCATCTGAGTCATACTGCAGTGCTCTGCAAAGCCTTTTCATTGTGTAGTGAGTCACAAACTCTGGAGTGAAGGGAATGTAAAAATGGAGCAAAGCTCGTGTTCTTTCTGACAGCATCATGCTAATACCAGTGCTGGTCTCTGTGCCTTTTGCTGCAGAACAAATGATGATGATCTTACCAGTACTGTCCACTTACTTTCCAGTTCATTTAATCAGACCAGTAAGACGGGCCTGAGACTGCTGCTGTCACTAGTTTGATCTATTTAGTAATGTAAGTACTTCTACTTGTGACTTAGTTGCATGGCATCGAATTCACTTTATTTCTCAGGGTAGAGTTGGTTAAGAGCCTTGAGGTAGTGTGGAGGTTACATGCTGGAAAGGAGTAGAGAAGCTGAATAGCTTTTTAATAACAGCACAACAACAGGTAATGGGATATCTGCTTGAGACAGGGGTCTTTGGTACCAGCAGAGAAGGAGCCTACAACACTTTATTGTAGCTCTTAAGTCTCTCTGTGTGCTGAGAAGTGTGCTATAAACAGTGAAGAAGAGGCTATAAAAGCTAAGCTACAGAGCACCTCAATTTGAACTTCTGTTTTGTTTTTTTTTTTTTTTTTTTTTTTTTAATTGCTGGAAAATGGCAGTGTTGACCTGGATCTGTGTGAACGCATAGGTTATGCGTAAATCAGGCTAGAATAAAGCAAAATTCTCCAGCATCTCTGAAACTCTTTCTTTGCACCACTCTCATGCTTTTTCTGTGAGAGTCAGAACTGTGACTGCATGGATAGTAGGTGTAATGGCAACTGTATGTGCTTTGAAAAAAGACTGGATGATTGATTCACACCAATTAAGATGCAGAACCATGCTAAAGGAAGCATTGCGAAGAACAGGGGTATGGTCTAGTCCTTGGTTTTGAGACTGTCTCTTTAGTGTTGTCACCCAGGAGTTTCATACATCTAGCATACATCTGTCAGTGCTTTTGTGGTGTAACGTTCTTTTTCTACTGCTGTTGAGGGGGGGATCCAGCAGTGAAAGGTGCTGTGTAAGCCCAATGATGCCTTCCTTTTTTGTTTTGCAGACTCTAATCCAAGGCATGTGTGTTTGAATTTGTAGGCAAAGGTTCAGCAAAGAATTAATTCTGTCAGGTATTTTCTGGCTCCATGAGGCTGTTTCCCTACACATAACAGATAGTGTCGTCTTTGGAAATATTTCTTGGCTGGAGAAACATGATGGAGCTTAAACTGCCAAAAAACTTGGATTAGAGAGATTGTTTTAGAACTTCCTCTACTGTACTGGCGTCTTATTTCAATTCTGAAACCCAGAGCCTTTCTGTAAATTGGAAACATGTGTATTAGTCAAGTTGGATGACGTGGT